CTCGTTTTACGCGCTACACGCAAATTCCCCGGGATCCTGTGCCCGTGAAACTGTACCCCTTCTTGCGTGTTCCCACCTTGGGATCTGGGGAATATTTCGAATTGAACAACAGTTGTATATTGTTTCACTTTCTTCACTTGCCCCTCCAGTCATTGATAAGATTTTCATTCGTAATCAGAATAAACGAGTAATCTTCACTGCGAATCACTCGGAAGCAGTTTGATAATGATTAAAATCCAATTGTTTGTACAAAATTTTATAAAACGTCATAAGTGTAGTTATCACAGATGGAGCTTACGATGGATGCGAAGCAACGGGAGGAATGAAGGGTTAATGGAAATGCAAGGTTTCGAAGCACCGAGACTCAGTAGGGCAAAGCAGAAGGGTTAAAGTCGAGGATCAACATCTGGCCTGGATGGAATCGCGTTGCCATAGGCTGGCACAGGTATCGCGTTACCTCGATGGACCGACCTCGGCGTTAAGACACCTAATTGCACGTTATGTTCGACGGGCCTGTATAACACGCACACACGCGTGTTCCTTGCCGAATGGTAATGCTCTGTCCCGGCGGTGGCCAGCTCGGGAGACAGGAAAGTGGGTGAACCTGGCTCGCGTTTGCGGCGAGAGGAGATATTCGCGTTTCCCTTGTCGTCGTTGTCGTCGTTGTCGTCGTCGTTGTCGTCTGTCGACTCTCTCCCCTTTTTTTATATCCCTCCGTCTCCACATCTATACAGATCTTTCCCAAGAGAATATCTTCGTGGAAAAGTTGGATTTAGACGTCCCCGAGTGACGGCCAATTACAACGCGTGTCGTCCATCGTTACACAGAGAAAACCTGCCGAGCGAGAAACGACTATCGTCGGAGATCCAATCTGCCGGAAGAACTTCCCTTTCGCTCCGAAAATCACCAAAGCAACGAACTATGAACATATTCGTCTTGCCGCGCACGTTAATCCACGTGGACTTTCTTGTTTTTCTCCCCCCCCCCCTCTCTCTCTCTCTCCCTTGGAGAATGTGTATATGATACACACTCGGGTTTCGCGTTCCACCGCAGCTGGAGAATAACATTTTTGGTAAATTGTTCGCGGTCATCGTGAAAAACAGAACGGACGGAGAAAGGCGACACGGAAGCCACGGTGGTTCTACCCAAGTTCACCACGAGGAGGAGAATCGACACGCGAGGTTGCACGGTATAAATCTAGCCGCGATCGATGTCCTCTTGGTAACGAGACTCGAGGGCAGTCGATTTCGTGGAATGGGCCTGGGGACGATCGAGAATTAAAGAAAAAAGAAAGAATTCTCTTATATGGTACCTACACCACCCAATCCCCATCTCTCTGAATACATCGAACGATACCGGTGACTACGGTATTTGAATCGTTTTATCGTCCCCGTGCATGGGTCAATAATGCAAAAATGGAAAACGATTGCACCGTGTAGATGGGACACGCGAGATTTAATCGATATTAGTGTGTTTGCCCGAAAAAAAATAGTTCCCGCAAGGACGAGCCGCATTGCGGAAAGGGATGAAATATATTTGACAAGGGGAGAAGAGGGACAACGACTATCGGGGCCACGGATAGGCGTGTAATGGAGTAGCCGAGCGTAGACGCAAACGATGGAAACTATACACGATCGTACGCTTCTGTGAGAAGTAACGACCTCTTTCAAGGCCGACGTATGTACTGGGTTACGCGGGCCAAGGTCGACACCGATTACGTGTACACACATGTCAAACGATGCTTTTTAAACAACCTTCGGCCGTCTTCGATTTACATCGCCGAGCACCGATAACCTTATAAATCAAGATACCCGTATAAAACCGATTGTCGCGACTTCGATTGGATTTTTCGCCGACAGATTGTCGCTACCAATTAGCCGATCGCTTGTGTAACGCGTTATGATAAACATGATTCGAGCGAATCAGAACAAATCGCGTTTGTCAGAAATTGCACTGTTTGCATTCTGGACGTGTGTAATCTATTGTCACGGAATAATTAGGTCGACGATATTTGCATTGTACTTTAATTGTGTACATATTCGGTATCATACGGCACACATTTTGTGAGGTTCCGATCCTCGCGGTGGCGAACCAATGTCGCACATGTGTGACAGTCATGATTTTGCATTTTGTGGAATGAAAACAAACAGAGTTGCGATTCCTAAAAAGCATGTGTCGTAACATTCGTTTACATTTCACTCAGTATTTAAGATTTCTAAAGTAAACGACAACATGCTACTCGAAATGGGTATACATATTTACGCTGCACGTTAATGATACGTTAGTCGTATTAATTCCTAACAATTCCCAATCATCAAAAGATCTAACACAAATTCGTAATAGAATCATTGAACAAATTATGCATGTACGAGATGTAATTGTGAAATTTAATAGAAATCAAATAGAAGAAGTTTGTACACTCACATTGATGTCAAAGGCGTCGGTGGGCATCCGTTGCACTCCGTTCATCTTCCCCGTACTGTCACTCCCGCAAGTCCCAGTCACTATTCTCACAGCCTTCGGTACCGCCGCGCGTCAATCGCTCGCCTTTACCAACAAACCCCGGACACGAGGGTCGCAGGCGTAAACACGGGCCCCGTCAAAATTTCAAACTAGTTGAGCAGCCTAGGAGCCGCCGCTGCTTCGACGCATCCTCGTTCACGTGCGCGGGACAACTGGAGATGACTCGCGCGTCTTTCGATCCGACGAATTCGATCGGAAGTTCGTGCACGTGTTCGCACCTTGTCCCAGGTGCAGTTCGATCGGGCCTGGATCTCATTCGTCGATCGATCGGAACACTTTGAAAACGTTCCTGATTTTGGTTCCCCGAGAGAAGGTAGAGCTTTGCCACGTCTGCAAATAATCACAACACGAGACGATTAACGAGCTGACATCGTTTTGGACAAATGTTATTCGACGACAACGGAGAAAACGCCGCGTGTGGTTTCCGACTTTGGAAAACAAACTGTTGTTTACAATCTTGCTGTGTATCGTTGATTGTCGTATCGCGATTGCACCGAAAGCAACGGAATTAATCGTAGACGTACAACGAAGCCGCCAGTAATGATACAGCGACAAAGAGTACGCGTCAAGGTTAAATTTTGATCCTTGATCGATCACGAACGATCCCAAGGTTCTTTTAGTAAACTGATTATCGATTCCCGAGCGAGCGAGCTTGAATCTGATACTCTGTATATCCGGTGGCATCGCGTCGGCGACATACGAGACCCAACTAACGTTCGCCAGACTCCGCGGGAATAACGCGCAATCGCTTCGTGGAGAACCACGCTTCGCTTTCTGGCGATAAGAGATTTAAACACTCGCCGACTGGAGTCTCCGAGTTTCGCGCTTGCGCTCACCGTATTTTCCGTGAAACACGTGGTATTCTTCGGTGTACCGATCCTCCTACCCCCCTTCCACTTTCTTTCTGTCGACGAGTTTACAACAATTATCAGTCTAAACGTAAATACACCGGTATCGTATCCGGATTCTAACGAACATAAATTCCGTTTCACAAAAGACAAGTGTCCGATCGTTTAAAAGATACAATAAAAAATAGTTTGTTATATACAAACGCGTGGTATTAATAATAAAATGCAAATGTTAGAATGAAAAAACAGACGCGTAAATCGCTTGTATATATCAGGTGTCGCGTGGACCACCGGTTTTCACGGATAGATTTTCTGATCGAGTCGAATACTAGAAAGGACTCGGACCGAAAGATACCACGGGCAGATACCGCGGCGGCAGGCTAACTCGAAAACTCGACGTGTTTCATGTCCGAGGGGGAGTAAAAACAGGTTTAAGAGCGTAGTTGACCGGTCGCCTTTTAAATCGGTCATCCGTCTAGCCGGGTAGAAATCACGTCGTCGATTCGAAATCAGGCACTGGTGCGTCAGGACGGGGAGCCTCACCGTACACCGTGTGTGGATCAACCGTGGAACCGGTAAGTTGAAACGGATGAATTAAAAGGAAGGTGAACGCGTTCAAGTGACGTTCCCGCGACACCGTGAAACAAGGAGGACACGTTGCACTCGCGATCGGAGTAATAATACGTCGGGGATAGGCACATGGCAAGCATGTCCCCGCCGCAGGATTCTACGTAGCAGCCGGCGTTCGGGCGCTCCGCGTCGCGACTGCCGCCGCGGCTAAAAAACCATACGATGACCTCATCACACCGACTCTGTTCTCCTGCCCATGTCACTGTTACTAGCCATCCTGAAAACATCTCGCCGCTTACCGTCGTCGTCGTCTACAGGAGCTCGTTCACTTCGTGGCGTTAATCGTAATCCAGACCACTATTACAGACAGTGGTCGTTGTTTTTCAGTTTTAAGTAACCCGTGTATCAATGGTACCACCAATCGTAACGAGAACAGACATAGCCTAGTCAAACGAAAACGAAGGGTAAAGGACTTTTCTAGGATTCATTGCTTGCGCTAACTTAGAGTACCTTACCAGGATCAGGAGACGTCAAAGAAGTGTGAATACCGACGCACATCCTTTGGGATAATTTCAAAAATGCCCGCCTTGCCTCTGTTCCCGATGGACTCGTGATGCGCGAATGTCCGTAGCAGGATATCATTTTTTTCCGAATCATCGATGTCTGAACAAGAAAAATTGTTTAAACGATAATAGCTTGTTGTATTACAGTTTATATGTACATTATATTTATTACAATAAACTATTATACGACCGATAAGATTCAAAATATATACAAATTGTTACGTAGAAATGTTATTACCTGCCCTTGTAAATAATGCCTTATCCTGTACTCCGAACATGTTTGAACATTCATATAACTCTGAAATATTGAATCATTCAAATAAACAAATATATTCGGTGTATAATTGTTCTGTTTAATAGGCCCAAATAGGCCAGTAAAATACAACAGTATGGCTGGTATTCTGGTATGGCTATACACGTGCGATGAGTACGGAGTATGTGCAAGGTGATGTATACGTTACGCATCTGAAATTATGAAACTAATCACAAAAAATATTTTACAAGATTTTGCGTTATAATGTTATACCGATTTGCTGATACATCGTATTCAAATAAACATTATTCTGTAACTATGAAATTTATGATTCTGTGCGTGTTTAAGGTTAAGTGCGATGTATTGTGCTAAAAAACTGTAACACTAACTTACAAATAGTACTACATTGAAAATATATACCTCAACAAAAAACTAATTTATCTGCCAGTAACCTGTCATATTTATGTATTATTGACACTTAAAAAGTAATAATCATCAACAATGGCTTCTGACAAGTCTCTCAATTCGAACCACACACTTCCAACGAACGTTAAGATAAAAGTGGAACCCGGAACATCGATGCCTGTACCTGTAAGGAACATTAAAACTGAACCTGGCGTGTCAGCCAGTACAACTAGGTTGACTTCGTTTCGCTTGCCAAGAGACTTAACGTTAGGTGGCAACATTAAAACGGAGAAATCTAAAAAACAGTACACACCAAATTTAAATGCTCAGAGGACAAAAAAGAAAGAGTAAGTTGTCATAAGAAAAAATGAATCTAATTAATACTGATTCACTAAATGATAACGATTTTACAGAGATGCAACACCAACTGATTCTGCAAAACCAGGTAGAGTTAAGGATGGTAGAGGACGTGGCAGAGGAGACAGAGGTGGCAGAAATGACAGAGGACGTGGAAGAGGAAACAATTTAATACAAGTATATTGAAAAATTTCTGTTAATGAAAATAAAAGGTTTTTATAATCTTCTCCATATACCTTGTCTCTGTAGTCTAGTGGTATTTGGTCCACTGGAATAAATAGTACACCAGGAAAACGTGGTAGTGGTGGTGGTTATAGAGATAGCGAAAGAAGTCCTCAAGCATCCTTGGAAAAGCCAAAATTAGACTTAAATCGGAGTGTTGATAAAGCTGAGGAAGAAGAAAAATTGAAATTATTGTTGAGAGATGACTTTATTGATGATGGAGATCCTGCAGATTCTGACAATGGACCTGTTACGCTGCCAATGATCAAAGAAGGTATATATTCTTATCGATACTTAGGATATGACAATACTGAACTTAATAAAAATACTGTCACATATGTTCTAGCAAAATTACACAAAGAAGAAACTAAAGCACACATTGAAGAAGAAATAGATAGAAAACCAATTATTTTAGAGAATGGAGAGGGTAAATATATTTTTATTCTTTCACTTAATTAAACGTTATCTTATTATTACTTTCAGTATTACCACCAAAAAAGGAAGTTAAAGTTAAGATGCCAAAGTCCATTGTTGACCCAAAGGAAGAGGTGGATAATATCCCACAAATGATTGAAAATAAGTCAAATTCTTATATCTTAATACAGGTATGAGTATGGGATGCTATAGGTATACATAGTTTCATAATAGCTGTTGTAATACATACATAGTATGTAGTTTCCAGATTGCCTACCTGGTTTTGTGGGTAGTGCTGAAGACACTAGAGCACCTCGCCCTAACACTTCAAATCAGGAGAAAGAAAACGAAATTAATTCACAAACAGATTTTTGTACCCTAAACAGTTTGAAACCTGGTATTTTAGGTAAATTACAAATCTTAAAGTCTGGCAAAACACGATTAGTCCTGGGTGAAAACAATTTGATTGTGGACGTGGGATCGCATCTCAGCTTTCGTCAAGTACGTACATGAAAGTATAAAAACAATAGGTATTATTTATTATAATACTCTTTTCTAGGATTTAATGGCTGCAAAAGTGGATACTGAAACATTAAATGGTGATCTAATCAATCTTGGTCCAGTCAGTAATACGCTTATATGTTCCCCTGACTGGGAATCCATGTTGGCCAAGTTGTAAATACATAATTCAAACTATGTGTATGAATTTATAACATGTTCCTTATTGTAAAAAACACATGAAATGGATAGATTGATTTATACAATATTTAAAATACAAAACAGTTTTTCTGAAAATTGTGTATTTTCAACACTACCATGTATGTAAAATAGGCTGTGTCGCGTACAAATTCAGCAGTCACTCTGAAACGTAAATAAATTCTTCAGTGGATAATGATTAAAAATTTTTGTATAATTTAGATGTACCAAACCATAACACAAGGGTGTAGCGAGAGTTCTCTGAAATGTAAAATGTTTCTCTTCAAGACGCAATTTATTTTTTTTTTTGCCTTAATGTAGATAACTTGATGCAAACTTATTTTTACACAAATTAGATTTATAAATTAAATCCATCGCACTATACAATGAATAATAATTCACAACATAAACTTATTAATTAAAGAAGATATCTTTTCTTAACCCATTCGTATCAACGTCTTGAAAAATGTAAAAATCGTACGTTCAAGTGGCACAAGAAATTACTATCCCTATTACAATAAGATATATAGTATTTCCACTTCTGTAAGTCAAAAAAACAACTATTGCGATTAACTTCGTAATCGTAAGCTTAAGATTAGGGTTCATAAAAATTAGGGCTTCGTCCATTATTGACGAACTTTTAAGAATGCCGAACTCGTTTTACACAAAAAAATATTGTGATACGATAAAATCCTATTATCGTTAATAATAAACGAAAACGCATTCGTGATACAGTTAGAGCAAGTGCATTGTAATACAGAGGTATACACACATTACACACCTTCCTTGATAAATCATACAAACTCTCAATCACTTCTTTCTATACTATGACCCTTTTTCATTGATTTCAATGCCTTTTCTCGTAATTTTTTTTCCAGTTCTTCGGTATTTCCTTCACTTACATCAGATTCATCGGAGTCTGCAACCTTCTTCTTTTTGTGCTTCCTATGCTTTTTATGTTTCTTGTGTTTCTTGTGCTTTTTATCCTTCTTCTTTTTCTTTTCTTCTACTTCACTTTCCTAAAAACAGTAATAACGAGATATAAATAACTTGCTCTAAAACTTAAATGATCAAAAAAAGAAACAAGTCACTACCTCTGATTCACTAGTACTGGTTTTAGTCTTCTTTTTACGTTTCTTCTTGACTTTTTCTTCATCTGAACTGTCATCCACTTTTCTCTTCTTTTTCACATCCTTTTCTCCTATTTCTTCATCGTCTGTGCTTGAATCACGTTTAGATTTCTTTGGTCGAACTTTTCCTTCATCTTCGCTCGTAGAATCTTTCCTTGATTTTCTAGTTCTCGACTTCTCATCCTCTGATGAGCTGTCCCGTCGTTTTCTTGTTTTCTTCGGTTCATCGTCTGAACTTGAATCCTTCTTAGACTTCCGCAATCTGGATCTGTCATCTTCACTCTTGCCCCTCTTCGTTTTCTGATCTTCATCGCCTGAAGAAGAATCTTTTCTAGATCTCTTTGATTTCTTTGTTTCTTCTTCTATATCTTTCTTCGATCGTTTACGAGACTCGTTTTCACTAACTTCCCGCTTTTTGCTGTCCTTTTTGTCCTTGACACGTTCGTCTAATGAATCTGACAAAAGAATAATTGTATTGTAAACACCGTAACTCGATTTCATCAAACTCGTAAAACTGGACTTTACCTCCTCGATTAGAGTCCCTGATTTTTTTACTCTTTTCCACGTGTTTTCTTTCTTCCTCGGAATCCGAACTAGAACCGCCTTTATCCGATTTCTCTTCATCTGTAGATGCCTTCCTAGACTTTCTAGATTTTTCTAACTTCCTTGATTTTTTCTTACCTACAGTACCAAAGCATGAAATGTGATTAAAACGACACTTCATGATTTTAAAAATTTTTATTTACCTTCACTTTCGCTGTCATTCGAATCTGTAGAGCCATCGCGTTTTTCTCTTTTCGATTTCTTGATCGCCTCGATGGGTTTCTTCGCGATAACTAGCTCCGATGTCTTTTGACCTCCTGATTTCTTTTCGTCGATTACGGTTTTAATTGATTTCAGTAACTTGTCGTCCTTCTTCAAAGGGAAAGTATCTGCAGACGAGAAGCTCGATTCTTCCTTCGGCGATTCTTCTTTATGATCTTCCCTGAAAATTGAATATAATTGTGGAGGTTACTTGGCTGTTTTTAACATAATAAAAACCGCTGGAGAAATTTACACTCACTTCGAAGGTTGTTTTATTTTAACAGCAGCTATAATATCTTCAGTCTTTTTAAACGGTGAGGGTGTTCGGGATAAGCTCTTCGAAAACTAATATAATGAATAGAATAATATTAGTTTATGAACATATTGAAAATATAGTCAGGTAACAGTAATCGACTTACTCTGTGTCTAGTTACCGGTAAGGTGGTAGGTTGAAGTTTCTTTGGAGAAACGCTGACATCTGGTTTCTTGATGGTCACAGGTTCAGGTTTCTTTACATCCTTTTCGGGACGTTTTATCGGCTCTTCTTTGACGGGCTTCTCTTTTTCTTTGCGTTTGTCATCCGCGTGTTCTCGTTTTTCTTGAGATGACTTCCGCTCAAGCGATTTTCTGCACACAGATAAAGATACATTATCAGGAAATGTTAAAATTCCTGTTATGCAGCTAAGCGGGAAAACACAACATAGCTGCCTTACGCTCCGACAATCGTAAGGTCTGTAACAAAACACGACAATACGGAATAACTTTTTACTCACCTGATGGCTTCATCCTCATTGCTAGAGGAACTACTTTCGCTACTTTCCGAGCTACTTGACTTAGACCTTCCATTTCGCAACTCTTTTCGCGATCCCGTATCAGTTGATTTTTTAATTTTCTCATCCACTTTCTTGTCCTTTATCTTGTCCTTAGTGTCGCGTGAACGATCGGGAGATCGTTTCTCATCCTTCGAACGATCCGCCGATGATCTGTGATCTTTCGATCTTGATCTACGATCCCTAGATCTAGATCTCCGATCTCTATCCCTTCTGTCCCTGTCTCTGGAACGGTCCCGCCTACTCGATCTGTCGCGAGATGAAGATCTATCGTACCTGAGCGATCTATCCCGGCCGTCTGGCGAACGACGTCTGCTGTCACGACGATCCGGAGACCGACGCCTGTCTCGCCTCTCCGATGATCTTCGCCTGCGGTCCAGAGACCTTCTTCTACGTCTGTCTCCAGGACTTGGCGATCTTCGACGGTACCTTGCTGGACTCCTACGCGGAGGGCTTCCGGACCAATTTCACGATATTAATGATACTGATCAATCTTTCTGCGTAATGTATAGTATTGCTTAGTTAATATTACCTCCTTCTGCTGGGTGCTCGGCGCACAGATGGTGGTCGCATGCTACGGCTACCACTGTATCTATCCAATCTGTCTCGTTCCCTTTCACGATCTCGATCTCGTCTTCTATCTCGTTCTCTGTCGATAGATCTCCTAATACAATTCAGCTTAAGGTCAGTATATTAGAATAAAATTCAAAAGTGTTACAATGCATAGACGTTTAATAACCTTCTGTTTCTATCTCGAGATCGATCTCGTGACCGCGATCTCTCACGTGATCTATCCTTGGAGCGACCTCTGTCTTTCCGCGGCGTGGGACTTCTTCGTTTAGGCACTGATTTCCTTTCTCGGCTCGAGTCGCTCTCGCTACCACTATCATCCTTATTTGTCTTTCTGTACGACCTCTTTGCCTGCACCCCATCCTTCTTCTTTCGAATCTCGAAATCATTCTTATCTTTCGCACCTTTATCTTCCTCCGATTCAGAACTAGTACTTGTACTTCCGTCTCGTTTCCTGCTAGAATCGAGATTATCCTTTCTCTTATCGGGCGACTTCGAGCGGGACTTGGATGATCGGGAGTCACTCGAATCTGACCTCGATTTTCTAGACTTACTTCGGTCGTTGCTCTTGGATCTTGACTTTTTCGATCGTGAACGAGATCGTGAGCGTGACCTTGGCGATTTGGATTTCGTGCGCCTTGATTTCGAGCGATCTTGCGACCTCGATTTAGATCTTCTAGATTTCGATCTAGACCTGGATCGTCTAGTTCTTGATTTCGAGCGAGATCGCCTGGATTTCGACGCGGGCGACCTGGATCGTCTAGTCTTCGAATCACGACTGGGTGACTTGGATCGAGACTTCTTAGAACGAGTTATGGGGGACTTCGATCTGGATCTAGATTTCTTTGCCTTGTCCAATGCTTCTGGAGACGGAGTACGGTTATTTTTCTTCTTTCCATCGGCGATACTCATTAATTTAGCTTGTAAACGGGATATCGCGACAGCAGCTTCCCTGTTAAAACACCTTCGTAAATAATCATCAAGAGATTATGTCGCATAGCAACATGTAAGCACTTACGGTTTTGTTTTAACGGGCATCAACGGTATAGCATTTTCAGGTTGAGGCGAGTCCTCCCTTTCAATTTTAACTTCAGGCATATCCTTTCCGTTATCTTTAAGTGAGTTTTTGCTAGGCGATCTTGACGACGATCGTCGTTTGCGACTCGATCTATCACGATCTCTGTGTCGATCCCTCGATCGACTTCTTTTATTTCTGCAAAAAGTTATGGAAACTTTGGAGTAGAGTAGTCTGTACCATTAAACAGAAGTAGCACTATTCGTTAAAAAGTATACCTATCCCTATCCCGATCCCTGCTCCTATCTCTTCTTCGCTCCTTCGATGAACCACGTTCTTTGTCTTCTTTTTTTATCTTACTTTCGGCTTCATCTTTCTCCTTTTCCCTCTCCTTTTCTTTCTCTTTCTCTGCTAGTGAAGCTTGAAGCTTCTCTTGTTCCTCCTAATGTAATATGTTGCCAGTTAGAATAAAAGTAACAAGAGTTTATGTTTATATAAACATGAAAGGTCTAAGCTGAACCTTGCACAACAAGAACCATCCAATTGAACATACTTCCGAATGTCAAGATTTAACTATTCAATTGTTCTACTACTCATAGATTAGTTCATACAATGAAACGAAAAGCATATAAAAGCGAAAATTGATAATTACCAAACGCTTTTTAATCTGGTCTTTTTTTTGTTGCAAGAAAGCCTCTGGTATGCCTGTAACACTTTCTTGGGCAGAGACCAAGAGGTCCCATAATTCGCCCATGAAAGACCGGGCATTTCTGCCATTCAGGAAACCTGTGAGGTTGATCTGCATTTTTCGTGGATCCGGAAACTGTAAAACACATAGTAGACCCGTGTCATCCGATGCCACTCTAATAATTAAACAATGATCGTTCGGTTCTACTAAATTGCAACGCAAAACTCGGAATTACAATCGTGTCCACCTCCTTATGATGTTACTAACTGCTTTTCCCCCTCGCAAAAGCAGATTGACTGTTATATTTCTAATGATTCTTACCGCCAACTGCTCGTTTCACGTCTGCGCTAACAACTGATACTTTAAAAAAAGAATATTATACTCATCGATAAACGCACAATTAGCACAGATACATTGGTACCTTCTGAAGTTAAAAACACTGCTATAACAGATGCTGAAATGGGAATAATAAGTATTCGTTGGGTTAGCTGAAAACGAAAGGATTAATTCGGAATAGAAGGAACACCTTTCCACCAACCTGTGATGTTGACAAAGAGTGTCAAACCGAGTAGAGATACCTCCGGCGTCGTCCACGAGTCAATCGCATCAAGGATTGACCGCGTAGCCGTAGAACGATCAGCCGGCGAACAGACCTGCATGATGGAAACATCCTCGATTCTTCCCGGTTGACAATGAGGGCACGAAGGACGAAGAAATCTGCGACCTGGGTTATGCTCCTGCTGCGTAGATAATCTCGTACGATGATCGGGGGCATCAGGTCTGGCAACGCGATGTTGTCTCCCTGCTCGAACTCGAACCGCAGACAGCCCGCCGATGCTCGGTGTTTGAAAGCTGTGGCACAGCTCCCGCAGTTGCAGTCTTGGCGTGTATCTGCCTCAAACGAGGCAGCTACGTGCAGGCGAAGGCAGCAGCCGGTGTAATTAGAAGACGACACGATTACGGCAACGAAGACATCTGCAGAATGGTAGAAGACGTCGGGCAGAGCTCCATATAAGGATGAGAAGAACAGGAACAGCATGATGCGACGAAATTATTGCGAGTATGCCGGTTCTCCGGTGACGATGCTTCGACGGCGGATGAACTGCTGATGCTCAAGTTTCTGCAGTCGTTATAAGATGATGTTGATATAGCTGCCCGCATCGGCTAGCGTTGACGGCTGATAGAAAGGCGGCCAATCGGATGTAGAGAGGAGCACATCCGAATGCCATTTGGACAATAGGGTTGAGCCCCACCAACGGTCTCTACTTATACTAACGGGGAATTCAAACATACATGATAAAAAACTTGTTTTCACATGTTACAGTGTTTCAGGATCAGCTACATCAGTTTTTCTTTTGTTGAAATAGGAGATTGCTCGGAGTAGGTGTCAAGGTAAATAAAAACGGGACACACAGGAAATACAGGAACAATGATAGTTTATCAGAATTAAAAAAAAAACGAAAAGAAAACAATGAGGCAAGTATGACTAATATGGTTTCTGCCTCCTTGCTTTTCACCTCCAAAATTGGCACATTGTGCAGATTTTGGATGACAGTATTTTGTAACTGGTACAAAACATTGTGCTGAAATAATGTGTATTTATCGATTTCCTATGATGAGGGGAAAAAGCCAAGTGAACGCAATTTATATATCGTCTTGTTAATCTATTTCTGTTCTAATTCTAATGAAATTTAAAAGGAAGCATTTTCCTCACCTTTTCCTCCAGTTGATTATATACAAATTCTACCACTACATCATCTTCCATGCCTAAAATTTGTGTGATCTTGGTGGTGATCCAAGGTTTGATGACATCGAGCTTAACTTTGCTCATATCCACCTAAGAATAAAGTAATGTATGGTAGAGTTTCATTATAAAAAACAGGATGATAAATCAATCCTACAAACAACTCGAGCATTATTTTATTTTATATATAAATTGATAATCTTGCATGATAATCTACCTTCTGTGTGAGAGAATCACCGAACTTCATTTGTTTAAGAAGTTTCTTCTCCTTGTCGCTGAACCTCGTGTCCTGCGATGCGGTAGTACCCTAAATTCCGAAAATATCACATTTACAACATTTTAAATAGTTCCAAGACAATACTTAACAAAATTGTAAGAATCGAAGATTGGATTTCGTTTTCATGAAATTTTTTGCTAATTTACCGTGTACATCATCTTGGCAACGTGTAAAAACCAAAAGCTGCACGATATTCCAAAGCTGGCGAAATTCCAATCCTCCTCTCGAACACTGGATGGAGAGGAGCTCCTCCAACTAACGCGTTGTTAAATATCGCGTTTCTCCCTATCCACTTAACGACGATATAATTTTCTAACGTACAAATATCAAACGGTAGAATTAAACGTGTACATACAGACGCAGACGCACGATAGATCAATCATCCAACATGGCGAACATGTCGTTAAATCGGTAGACTGAGTGACTGAAGTTGATGACATTCGACAGTGCAGCCATGGTCATAAAGGATTGCCAATACATCCGCACATGGATTTTTCTTTAAACAGTTCATTTAATTTTATGAATATTACCACGAAGAGAGTAAAAAGTTCAACTGCAACTACATTGAGCAATAAAATATATATAACAAATGTAAAATTTCATACGTAAATAAATACTGGTGTCATCTGTAACAAACGGTCCAAACTATTCATTAGTTAATACAATTTTGCGGTCACTAGATGGCGTAAAGATATCTCACCGCTAGATGCTATAGTGATTTTATCACCGACTAGGTATAGGATAAACTGTTTCCTGCCTCGCATAGCCTCCACAGGAGCCCTCACTCTCAGCTACCACTTGCCCGAGCGGGCTCGGTTGCCCATCACTGCTATATCATCATATATCATATATCTCGCCTGTGATTACGAGTATTGACATTTCAGAGTAGTTGTCGCGCGGTGGGCTTATTGTCACTGAAACGTAAATAATATTGTTACATTCAACATAATTCCATGGTTGTATGATCGCTATACTCAACATTGGTACACAATGCTCGGAAAGCTCGGAGCAGTATTCATGACAATGAAATTTTGAAATTATTAGTCGAGATTTATGAATAAAAGTATACAACTTTACAAGGTAAGTGTAACACAGCTTCGTTAGTATAAATGCACGTATATAATTATATAGAGAAGTACATTCATTAGATTTACTTAAATTATTAATAACGCCCTAACAAATTTTAGTGTCAGACTCATTACATGCGTTATTTGTAAACAATACAACTGAACATGTCAACTTTGGAAGACAAAATTCTGGGAGAAAAGTTGCACTACTATTGCAGTAGTTCTAGTGAGGATGAAGGAAACGATTCAACAGATTCTGATAAAGAGTTAGACAATGAAAAGTATCAGAGATCAGTCACAGAGTCCATAGAGCCATCATTTTCAGAATGGGATGGAACTTCTAGTAATACTGGACCAAAGGGTGTTCTAAAAGTAAAATTGCACTTCAAATGTTTTCTTATTTATTGTAATATATTGTTTCACTGTGTTTTAATAAATTCTTAGGATTGGCAACGATATAAACAATTGGAAGCTGCGAAAAGAGATGAACAAGAAAGAGAAAGACTTTTGCTGATTAAAAAACTGAGTCTAACATGTCGCAGTTCCCTAGATGAAGAAAAGGAAAAAATTTTAGAAACTGACCCTGATCTTGCTGAATTATTAGCCGATGAATTTCTTTTGGAATACCAGAGACAGAGAATGAAGGAAATGCTTACAAAGGCAGAGAAACTTCGTTTTGGTAGACTTATTAACTTAGAAACAGCAGATCAGTTTCTAGAAGCAATTGACAATGAAGATAAATCTGTGACAGTTGTTGTGCATATTTATGAAAACAATGTCCCTGGCTGTGAAGCCATGAATGGATGTTTAATATCTGTTGCAGAAGACTATCCCTTTGTAAAGTTTTGTAAAATTTTAGGTTTGTTGTTAAGATATTTTATTAAGTTCATATTATGTGAATTTGATGTTATATTTAATTAACGGTATTTATTAACTATTTTTTCAGGTTCTGTGGCTGGTCTTAGTAAACACTTTAAAAGAGATGGCGTACCTGCTTTATTAGTTTACAAGTCAGGACAAGTAATAGGAAATTTTGTTCATGTAACAGACTATTTAGGAGTAGACTTTTATGCATCAGATGTTGAAAACTTTCTAATAGAACATGGTATGCTGACTGACAAAAATTGTGTACCTGCCATTATTTCGCAAAACGAGGATACATTATCGGACAGTGAATAAATAGAATGGATAAATATTTTTTTATAATTTGTAGTACGATCTTCCTAGTACATCCTATATCTGTTCATTATGTCAGTAGTAATCTCATTAATTTCATTATTTTTGTTCAACTTCATTCATTCCATAAAGTAATAAATAATAATATACTTTTAAATATTGTTTTCATAAAAAGAAATTAATTTACACAATGAAACGAAAAATAGAATACTGTAAATATTTATATCCACCTTAGTAAGAAATATAAATCTATACATAAATACTTTAAAACCTTACTCATTTCTTAAAATTATGACTACTTTAAAGTTTTTCTAATATTTGTCTCTTTTTTCTAACAGCTTTGCAAAACTCTAAGTAAGTGTTTAAGATACTGCTGTATTCTGTATTTTGCAAACTTTCATACTCTTTCTTTAAATTCTCTTTTTCTTTGATTTCATTCATTGTTGCAAACAACTTTTCATCTATGATTTCATTCAGTGTTTTGTAGGCATCAATTGTCACTGGAGTTTCTTTGAACATTCTAGTGATACATGTTAGCTTTATAATTTTTGCTTGCTCTTGTGCAACTTCAAATTGCAGTAACATATACTCTACTTTTTCTAAATTAATCCGATTAAATTCTTTAGATTTAGTTTTCCATTTGTTCAATAGAGTGGACAATTTGATCACATCAGCTCTTAACTGATCACACAGTTCATTCATCTTATCTTTCCACTGCAACATTTGTATTTCATGAAGTTCAAATAATTTTTTACGTATATTACAATTATTTGACCCAAGTACTTCTTTCATATTTCCTCCCAAGCTTTTATACCTGAAATGTTCTAAGATTAGTATAAATTTAAACTGTATTAATGTCAAAAAATTACAAAAGTATTAAACCTTAAAATAAAGTCAAGTATTTTCTCTCTTAACAATGCTTCCACATAACATTTAATATCTAACTTTTCTTTGTGAGTGAGATCATATTCTGGTAGATCAGTAATTCCCAAGACTGTTAACTTCTCTAGTATTTTCTTGGATATAGATGGCAAATGCATGTATTTGTTAACTTCATGAATTGAAAGTAACCCTTTCAATTTGGTGATAACATCTGCAGATAATGTTAATTTTGTGTTGTTTGATGCTTCTTTTATGGATTGTAATATTATTTTGTTCTTTATATGATCCCCTATGCTTTCCTCACACAAGGTCAAACGTTTTGTAGACTTCTGGAGAAGAGTAGTCCCTTGATTCAGGTTCGTGGTATTCCTACTTGCATTATATGTTATGCTACATTGTTGTTCTGATAAATTTTGCAGTGAATCCATTCTGCCCATTATTTGACTACAATTCACACGGGAAATCCGTGATAAACTATGGATATCTAAAAGTAGAGTACAATAATGATATTGTAAATATCATACATTTACAGCTGATATGTTGAGTTCCATTTATAACATACTAAGTCAATGACATTTGCTAAACAATGAATGGTTAGCGCTTACATACCTGATATTTGACTTAAATCGCTGAAACTCATATTGTTTATATATATATAATGTTATCTCATTGAGAAAGTTTTTCCTTCTTTGTTTCTATTTCTAGGACTTTGTATTGTAGCCTTGTAACTTGTAGCTTTTAAATTTAAACGGTTAAAGAAGTCATAAACCTAAACGATAGGGTCCCGATGTAGGTCCGATAAATTCCCTACGATTCGAGCGCTGTTCCGTGTCGTTTGGGAATTTTTGTATTTTTATGCGATGTGTGACCCATGTGACCACTGGCCAGGCATAAAATACAAGGAACTGCAAATAAAATGACGAGAAAATTTATCAACTTTGAACTGTGTTTCGGGATTGTATAAATAAACGTCTCATTTCTTGTAGTTATACTGAGAGAACTTTCGAGAATTAAATCTTGCTTATAGCCATCTCACGGCGAAACATGAAATTGTTGTCATAATGGAACATAAAAAATACATATGGATTCTTCCAATGTCCAATGCGTTCGTAGCGGTCAGTAGCGGTCGGTGAGTTCTGGATTGTCGCATTAACCTGAAAAATGGCGGCTAATATTAACGGCGTGTTCAGTGAAAATTTGCAAAATGCAATATTACACAGTAAAGTACTCATCGTAGGTGCTGGTGGAATCGGTTGCGAGATATTGAAGAATCTTGTTATGACAGGATTCACCGACATCGAAATTGTAAGTATAATCAAAAGCCGATACGCTGTACCGTCATGTTAACCTATCTACCTTTTCCCTCCTTCATTAGTACTCGTTATTATTTGAATCTACGAGTCTGCATTTGTATCATTCGGAATCACTTATATTACATTATTATTTTGTAACAAAGAATACCGAACAGTGCATAAGTATTGTTTTTATTCTATTGATTGTGCGTCGGGTGTATGATCCGTTGCAAAAGAAACAGCATTAACATTTAATCCCGATGCAAAAATAGTACATTATCATGACAGTATTACATCGTAAGTATCCTTTTTTTCCTACCCTTTTAAAGTAACAATATTTTTATAATACACTATATAACTTTGCATCCACAGTTCTGATTATGGTGTATCATTTTTTAAGAAGTTCACATTAGTTATGAATGCACTTGATAATCGATCAGCTAGAAATCATGTAAATAGAATGTGTTTGGCTGCAGATGTGCCTTTAATTGAATCTGGCACAGCTGGTTATGAAGGACAAGTAGAACTTATAAAAAAGGGATTGAGCCAATGTTATGAGTGTACTCCAAAAGCTGCACAAAAGACATACCCTGGCTGTACAATCCGTAACACTCCCAGTGAGCCAATTCACTGTATAGTATGGGCTAAGCACTTATTTAAGTAGGTTTTTCATTTAGTATTTCTCATGAAAATGTAGAATACATTATAAGAAAGCATTTCTAAATTTCTTGTAGTCAATTGTTTGGTGAAGAAGATCCTGATCAAGATGTTTCTCCAGATACTGCTGATCCAGAGGCAGCAGGTAATGACAACATGGATATAATGTGCTAAATTGTTGATATATTAGTGGTCATGTGGAAATTATTTATTATAGCTGCAGCAGGTGAAGGTGCTTTAAATTCAGAAGCAAATGAAAAGGGAAATGTTAATAGAGTGTCGACTAGAGCTTGGGCACAATCATGTGGCTATGATTCAGACAAGTTGTTTACAAAATTATTTCATGATGACATAAAATATTTACTTAGTATGGACAATTTGTGGAAGAAGAGAAGACCACCTACCCCTCTGAGTTGGAAGGAACTACCAGATGGAGGTTTGTGAAATAGGTTCAGAATGTTTAATTTACTATTGAATAAGAAGTAATATATTTACACTGTATTGTTTTGTAATACAGTACCAGGATGTAGTAAAGAAGTAAATGAACCTGGCTTAAAAGACCAACAACGCTGGAGCATTTCTAAATGTGGAGTCATATTTGCTGAATCAATAAAGAACTTAAGCAAAACATTAGCAGCCTCTCAAGAGAAGTTGAAAAACAATCACCTTGTTTGGGATAAAGATGATCAAAGTTCAATGGACTTTGTTGCGGCATGTGCTAACATAAGAGCTCACATTTTTGGTATATCTCAGAAAACAAGATTCGATATAAAATGTATGTAACTATGCTACATTTGTTAGTTTCTAGAGTTTAAGATGTAACACTAAGCCTTTACCTTTTGTTTTTTGTAGCAATGGCAGGGAATATAATTCCAGCAATTGCAACTACAAATGCAATAGTCGCAGGCCTAGTTGTTCTTCACGCATTTCGTATACTAGAGGGTAATTTAAAGGCATGCAGATCCGTGTATTTGCGTTCCAAAATGAACCATCGCAATCAGTTGCTAGTACCAGAAAAAGATGTTAATCCACCCAATCCAAAATGCTATGTATGCGCACCAACGCCGCACGCTGTATTAGCAGTTGATACATCTAAAATGACAATCAAAGAGTTGGATGAAGTAGTATTAAAGAATAGATTAAATATGATCGCTCCAGATGTTATGATAGATGGTACCAGTAATGTTGTTATAAGCAGTGAAGAAGGAGAAACCGAAGAAAACAATGATAAACTTTTAGAAGAACTAGGAATTAAGGATGGTACTATTCTTAAGGTTGATGATTTCCAACAAAATTATTCGTTAACTGTACATGTGGTCTATAGAGAACGACCAAGTGTACGAAGTGATAGCACTGATTTCCTCATCCTAGCTGATGAGAAAGATCTTAAACCTAAGGAAGAAAATGACTTAGAAAAACCATCTACTTCGAATGGCCAGGTAAGTAGAAGAGAGAATTCGTTGTATAAATATAGTCGTCTTCTAAAATTTGAGACTTACGCGAACCAAAAACTTTACGTAGGTGGAGCATGAATCCGACGACACTGTAATGAATGTTGAAGCTGATGTTATTCCGTCAGAAGTGACGAAGAAACGTAAAATTGAAATGCCTGAGAGTGTTGCATCTCCAAAGAAACGAAAAAAGGAAACTAACAACACGGATGATAATGATGTATGTATAATCGAAAATGATGTTAATAACGAGGTCATCGATAATACTTTAAAATCTAAATCTAAACGTGAAGTATCAGAAGATGATGACTGTTTAATCATATACGATGAGAGTATGCAAACAACTGTTGTTTTGGAATGAATGAATTAAAACTAAACTGAACTAGCTTCATTTGAATTTAAGACAAAAGAGTTAAAAAATCGAGAATCAGTATACTAATTGTATTTAAAAGTAAATGTATGTTTGTACAAAATACGTACATGCGTACGAATTCCATTACTCGAATTATGAGTTTTTTTGGTTATTCATCATTCGTATAATTGTTAATAAATAAGTCGAAGGTACGTGTGATGACATGCTATGAGAATGAATGTATATGTATAATGGTGTTTTGAATCCATTAACAGAATATTTTTTAATGTATTTTAATTCCTACGAGTATTTATGAAAATACGTAGTGTTACATTTGTAGTATGTCATTTCATGTATGTACCTGCACAGTTTTATATGTAAAAGAGGAAATAAATACTTTTTTGGTACCCTAACAAAATTATTACTTCCATCTGAACTAACAAATATTTTTTAAAAAGTTTTATTTGCACAAAATAAATATTGGTTCAAATTGTAATTGAACATTTCAAAGTCGATTTTATATCTCCCGTACAATCTTAAAATTATATCTTGCGTCAAATTCGCAAAATATTTACATGTTGTATCAAAATTTGTATGTCCACCGCGCGTTTGTTCCAATTGTGATAAATATACCTTATTTTTGTCCAGTCTAAATTTTGAAAAAATATAAGTAATTTGATCGTAAGTATAATCGTCCAACTTTAAAATATAACTATATCGTATATTGCACACTCCACAGTGTGTGTTATAACGATCCCAATGAACATCATCTTGATCAGAACTTTGTAGAAGCCATAGCAAGAACTCTTTGAAAGTTGGTACCAATTTTAATCTGAAAAATATATATACATATTAAACTTCCATACTTCAATCACAACAAGATTTGTTATATTACATTGTACCTTTTATCAGTTGTAAATACTTTTTGCTGAAAATTTCCAGTTGTTATATTAGAATGAAAAAGCGCAGGTCTTGTAAGATGAAAAATCTGCTTCGTATACATCCAAGCTTGTGCTGTGTGTTTCGAATTATCTTCTATGCGATCTCTAAAACATCAAACAATACTTTAATACATTTAAGACACACTGAAGACAAAGAAACATACCTGTATGACGATACAAGCCTTTGAAACGGATGACGCACAATTAAAAGTTTAAATACCTTTGGATCGTTGGCGATATAGTATAGTTCCTTCAGAGTTTCTGGTGCCAAAATATCAACTTCTCTACAAAGAATTTAGGAATTGAAATATGATTTATATGGAAATCATGAATTACGATTACCTGTAATAATTACGCATAACTCGGCGGTTTTTCATATCTGAAAACAATTTCGTGAAACTCGTTGAAGCTGCTTTACGAATCCAACAATATATTGATTGTTGTTTAGAATTGTACAAAAAATGTCTTCTTATTAATGGAGTTTTTAAATTATATTTATTACATGTATTTGAAATTTGTTGCAGTAACAATAGACTTTCCTAGTAAAAAATATCATGAATAATATGTACTATACACTACATATGAATGATTTTAATTCGTTTACCTGCATTTCATCATACTCTAGAAGTTTTGTTTCTAAACCGATCGGTTTTGTAATTGCTTGTGACACAACGGAACAGTTTTCTGCTGACTGATTACTTTTAAGAAAAGAGACTGAATACAATTGTTGTCTTATTTTTAATAAAAGAGTACAAACAGCAATGTATAAAATGACGCATAATGTGGATTTTATAAATTGCGTTCTCAGCGACATAATTAAAACTGAAATGAGTATTCTGACAGTCACTAAGATTAAAGCTTCCGTCCGTAAATTGTCTGTGTGGGGGTGGAATAAAAGATAATATTTATCTTTCACTTCAATTATTTTCTAGTTTTTCGTAATAGCTTGAATGAATGTTCCTCATCCTACATTTTTAACTGATTAGGAAGGAGGTGAAGATTAATAAAACAAACGTATGCATTTTGCACTTTACTACGCAATAGCAACAAAACATGTAAATCAATGATTTCGGTACATAATTACGGTATTAGGCTGCTTCTGTTAAATAAGAAATAGTAATGATTTAATATTACATGTAATTTGTAAATGATGTGTGTCAATGATCGTGACGAAAATATTCTCCTTTGAAGTAGATGCTTCTTACAAAACTTTCATTATAAAATTTGACTTATAACAACTGGAAGAGTGATTAATGTTAATCTGTACGTTACATTAATTGCTTTCAAAAAGTTCTACATACGGCAGTGAACTATGTTAAAACGTACACGATCTTATCAAACTTTTATTATCAATACAAAAACAAGTATTATCAATAACAAACACTGATTCACAATTGAATATTCTATTTTTACACAAAAAGGATGTATAAGATATGAAGAAGGGACACAGAAATATATAAATAATACGTAAATTGTATAAAATAAAAGTCTTAACAGTAAGACGTACTAGCGGACAGTACAATAGATGTTTTTTTGTTGCTAAATTCAATAACACAAATTCGATCAATTGTGAATCATTGTTCAATTGTATAGACAATTTTTTATCTTTCACTCATTATTTAATTTCTCGTATTACTACGTAATATTAAGTGAAACAGAAATTAAGTATATAATTTTTACTTATGATAGGATGCATTTGAATGCATCTTAATAAACTGATTCATTAATACACAATAGTGTTTTCAATGACGTTAAAAATACACATTGTTCAAATGTATATATATATATATAAATATGTATAAAAAAAATCAAATCAATTTTGATTGAATCATTACTAAATTGATTAAACTCCTGATCGATTGAATAATCTTCTCCTATTACATAATCGTAAATGTCGCGATTCCTTTGAAAGCCCTTACAATATGTGCATGAATTGAGAAATGAAATACATGAATGAAGATAATGTGAAGAATGTCTTATCTACGATCCCTATATCTATGATGATGATCCCGGGAGGATCGGTGGTCACTGTGTCGACTGTGTCGACTTGCTGTTCTCCATAAAAATTCATCTACACTCCTCTCGTAGCTGCGCTTATCGAGTGCGGAAGCAGCTGCACTATAGTCAGGTGGCAATGGTAAACCATCGTAATACCTGGGTGGTGGTGGTGGTAAAGTATCATAGGGATGAGGTGCAGCGTAAGGTGGTAATGGAGGTAATTGGTGTTGCATAGTACGCATGTAATCCGCGACATATGCTTCAGCTGCCGCGGCCACTCCTAATCCAGGACTACCATATCCCCTGCAAAGTTCACAATTATTGAAATTTAATCGTAAAACGTTTGACGACCATATTTTTCAAAGCGTGTACCGTACTTTGAGTAAGGAGAATCGCCACGATTAAACCAAGATGCATATCGATGATGATGATGATCCCTGGAGCCTCTATGATCATTACCAGCTAAGTGAGATCCTCTGGCTAAAGAAGCTAAACGAGATCGTGAAGTTAAGAAAAGCCTACGACCCCTACCACCCCTTGTCCGCAAAAATCTAGAACTACTGTTAACAGGTCTGCTGTCTCGATACGAACGAGATGATTTTGTAACATGCTTCGCTGCTTCCTTTGATTTTCTTAAAATTGGAGTCATTTCAATGCCTGAAATATTTATCGTGAACTGTGAATAATCGTGTTTTCTTTCAAGCACAGAGAAATCAGAAATTCTAATTTACCTTCATCCTCCGGAAACAGCCTGCACAATTCCTCTGCCACTCTTGGTTCAATTTCCTGCCCATCCCGACCAATTTTTACCTGCTTACCGTCATTCCATGGATTATATAAGTGTAAGGTTGCTGTAAATGGTAATTCTTTCCTACAAATCCAGTCAACTTTAAATACACCCCCTAAAGCTTTAGCAGACAACCCAGGTGGTAACACCTAAAATTCATAAATATTTTTTTGTAATAATACACAGAATTCTCCATTAAAGTATATATACAAACCCAGGAAATGGGTGCTCCATCTCTTCTAGACTCTGTACTAAGTCTTGCAAAACCAGCAAATTTTCCTGATTCCTTCACAGAAAATACTAGAAGGACATTCCTTGATTCCCTATATGCCTGATTTAAATTGGCTTCATTTTGAGGCAATGTGCTCCATACCCCTTTAGCTTTTGACAGGGTGACATTCTCAGCATTGTTTGACTTGATGATGAAAAATCTGATAAAAAGAACTTTAAGACATGTTCCTGGCATTTAAATTAATATGCTTATATAAACACTCATAAGTGGTTTTCATAAACATAAAAATTGTAAGGAAACATAATACAGTAGAGTCCCCGAGTAGGCTACTTTTATGGTCCGCAAAGTAGCTTTCTCATGATATCAAACGCGATGACAATATAAGGGCTAGTCGCTCAAAGCCGAGTCGGTCGCCAAGAAGCGTGGCTAGTGCGGGATACTGCAGAGGAGTGGAATGGGAAAATCGGTAGCTCCGTCGCAGTTGAAAAAGGCAGTCTACTCGCGGACTTTACTGTACAGTCCTCACAGAGATACAGCATGATCGTAAATTAACGTATTGAGCGGCGACACTGATTTATGCGCGGCTCGGTAGGGTTCCAAGCAATAAAACAGAAGACTGTCGACTAACTGTAATTCATTTACTACCAGGATAACTGTAATTTCTGTTTAATATTTAGAATATATGGAAGACCTTAACTTTTTTAGGCCATTATAAACAATAAACAAGTCAGAAGTCTGACTGAATGACGCTCGAGCTCCTTACCTCCCTTTTATTTCTCTTAAATCACTGTTCCGACGCATGGAACATGTTTACTTTACCGCTCCACTGAGTTTAAGACCACGCTATATCCGTGCAATGACTATACATAACAAGTTAACATAACGTATTAAAAGTATACATAAAAGTAGCCAACCTTGCATCTCTAAATAAGTAATTTAATTTTATAGCATAATCATAGCTCTTAGCAATTCCTTTGCTCTCTTTAGACCTTGCACGTTTTGTTTCAGGGCTGGAGGATTTAGAGTCTCTGGACCTAGCGCGCTTTCCCCTATTCTTCCGATTGCGTTTATTATCTCCGCGTGAAGATTTAGTTGAAACAGAGCTTATACTGGGTTGACTAGAATCAGAATTCGAACTACTAGATGAAACTTCACTACGTGTATCATACGTCTCATCTGCCGCAATTTTTAATTCATCTACTATGTCATTTTCTCCACAGCTCAGATTTAAGTTGTCCCCGTCCATATTATTGTCCATAGTTACACTATTTATTTGATGTTCACTTTCACTAATGCTCAAAAGTATCTCTTCACTTGTCCCGTCATCCAGGCTTTGTATTTCTGGATTTTTCGGGCTTTCTTGCACGAAGCCAATGCGGTTCTGGAGCCTTTAAACCTTTTCTGAAACGCAAATATAATAAAGGTCTTACTAGATGGATATCCAGTACACTGTGATACTTGTCCAAGAAAAATATCATATTCGAGCGGATCTGGTATGTCGTATGACAATTATATGGCAGAAAGTAATGCAGTAACATTTTTAGCGTATAAGGAGAAAAGTTCAGAAGATTGCACACGAAATCCGATTTAAAGTCACTGTGGTAAAAGATTTAAAAAGTCCATTCATCAGAAACATTGATGTTAAAATTGTCCTTATACTGTTTAAGTAAAACATTTAGAAGTCTCATAGAAGTTTCCAATAGATATCTACTATGTTAGCAAATACACCTTGCCTCGAGTAGATACAAATTATGCCTAAGATTGCTAGTTTTTGTTTCCTATAGAAACAGTATTTAGCAAAGGACGACAACTTCGCTTTTCGATCTTTTTTCACGACTATATATGTCCATGTATAAGTGAAAAATAAATAATACGCCTTAAAACGTAGGGAATCCCTTTTTTATGCAATCGAACGAAGTACACAATTCTTGTTGCTCTACAAAACACATTCTCAAACTTTATACATAAAAGTTTATGGTAAAGTTTATTGTAAACAGACAGTTTAATCCTGCTAAATTATGCTTTGTTTTACTTTGTTTTTTTAGCTTATTATTGTATGAAGGCGAGGAGTCTTCGATGTTTTTTTCGGTACGTCAGAGAAAACAACACATCGTACTCCGTTTGACGTCTCTATGCAGTCTTTGGAAACGCGAAGGCTACACCTAGGAAAAGTCCGCTGCGAATAGTGATTTTAATAGCAACATCGGCACCACAAAACATACTCGAGACCATTGTTCTCGCCATTCATTTTATCAAGAAAGTTCATGGTTTACGAGCATAAGTCCTTGACGTTAGGAGCCCTTTCAGGCAGCTCGTACACACTTACGTGCACACTCCTTCACTTTAACACACTTCGCACCTCACGCAAGAATGCTCATTAAAATATCGGTATGCATTCGATAACTATTCCTACGATTTCTCCGCACGAAATACACGGAAGACTGGCACAGCAAATAGTGCGTTTTCTCATGAGAACACAGTAAACGACCAGTAAACGATTCTCGCTTCACAGGAGTGTAAATCACAGCGTCCATTGCGTGACGTGTTCACCATGATCAATAGAAATGGAACCCGGGATCTCGGGAACCTCTACGACAATCTGTGGGACGCTCACAAGCTTCTGAAATATTCTGAATCACACTGCAGGAGCCGTTACAGCTACAATTGTCCTGTGCAGTCCTGTAATATATGGGATAAATACTTTTTATTATACAAAATATTACAAATTAATGTTAACCACTTTTCCTTGACACAGAGTAGTTTGTATTTTGTTTTGGTGCCATCTATGGTATAACATCAACGGTATTGCCTAATCAGTACCATGTTTCGTTACTGGATGACAGCGCTGTGTCTTTTGAATACCCGTTTCCAAGCACATGGGTGAACAAATGATCTATTTTTGGTCTAGTATTAATTCATATCATTTGATATCACTTCTTATATTGTCTTATATTGATACCATACTGTTCAATCAGGTTAAATACTACTCAGTTAAAGTAATAGTGATATCATTTTTTTCAGGTAAGTAGTAAATTGCATAAAATTGAGAAGTACTGTGATACTTACACTTTTTTATTTATATATTTTAGCATGGATCCGTTATTAAGTGATAAACGATTTGCTTACATTGCAAAGGATCCGAAATTTAAAAGGATCCCAAAGGCGGAACGAAAAATAAAGATAGATAAAAGGTTTCAAGGCATGTTTAAAGACAAAAAGTTTACAGTTCACTATACTATTGACAAGAGAGGCAGACCTATAAGCCAAACATCAGCAGAAAATCTTAAAAAGTATTATGACTTGTCCAGTAGCGAAGAGGAGGAAGATAAAGAAGTGGCAGAAGAGGAGGTTGTAGAAAAAAAAGCTACCACTCTTAAGAGTAAACAGCAAGGCAAGAAAGAAAAATCTAAAAGTAAGCAAAAGAAGGACAAACACCTTGAGGAATTTAAATCTCAAGATGTTAATTCTATAAAGAAGGATGTGGATGATGAACATAAAGATGAAGATGATAATTCATCAGATAATCATTTTTCAAGCAATGGAGAATTGCTGAGGCTTAAGCCAAAAGAAGAATATAGTGAGGATTCTGAAGAGCATAGTGAGTCCAAGAATGAATCAGAATCTGAGTCTGCTGTAGACGATGAAATAAATGCAGATATTTTAAAATCAGATTTGAAAGAAAGTAAAAAACAGTTACGGATTGAGAGGAAAAATGAGTCTAATAAACTTACAGACAAAATTAAAGAAAAACTAAGAGATTTAAGTGTAAATTATGCTAGAGGTGAAGGGGTACTAATGACAGACAGCTCTTCTGATGATGATAGCTCAGATGTCTCAGGTAATATTGTACAATATTACTTATCAAAATACCTTTGACTGCTGACTAAATAATTTGAGCCAAGGATTGATTACTAAGTAATGAATATTGTCATTAGATGAAGAAGAAATTGATCATAATTGGGGTGAATTAGATAAGGAAGCACATACAACAGATGAAATCACACACAGATTAGCAGTATGTAACATGGATTGGGATAGAATACGTGCTGTGGATTTAATGGTGTTGTTTAATTCATTTTTACCAAATGGAGGTGTTATTCGTTCAATCGCGGTAAGAATAATCAATAGAAAAAGACAGTAAATATCTTTATGAGTCCTTATATCAAAATAATTTCAGATTTATCCATCAGAGTTTGGCCTACAACGCATGAAAGAAGAAGAAATTAGTGGTCCAAAAGAATTAATAGAAATAAGTAAAGAAAGAGACATGGATGATGAAAATGATGTAATAATTTATCTTTTTTGCATTTAAGGATATAAAGAATACTGTGTATTCTAATATTAAATAATTCTTTAGGATGAAGAGGGGTCAGCATATCATATGGAAAAATTGAGACAATATCAATTGAATAGACTGAAGTATTACTATGCAGTTGCTGACTTTGATTCAGCTGAAACAGCAAACAAAATTTATACAGAGTGCGATGGTACAGAATACGAATCTACTGCCACGAAGATGGACCTTAGATTTATACCAAATGATATGGAGTTTGATCAGGTGTGTTTTATTTAGCCTTTAAGTAAAAAGTGTGTTAAATGTATTTATTGTGTATGATTTTAAACACCTATTTTAAGGCTCCTAGAGAAGTTTGCAGTGAAACACCAGAACTTTCAAAGTATCAACCAAGGCAGTTTACTACTACAGCTCTACAGCAAGTTAAAGTGGAGCTAACATGGGATGAGACAAATCCAGAAAGGCTGGAGATTGCACAAAAATTGAATTCTGGGAAACTGGATGAGATTAATGCAAATGATTTGCAAACTTATTTAGCTACAGATTCAAGTGATGAAGAAACAGGTATTACTTTCTCATCCTTTATTATCTATAATATCTTTTTATTGTTACATTTTTATTATTAGAAGCTGAAGAGGCAAAAGAAAAGCAGGAATCGCAAGATAACACAGCAGACTCTGATACAACAATAAATGGTGATCCAATTGAAAAATATAAGGCTCTGTTAAAAGAAATAGAAGAAAAGGAGGAATCAAAACAGAAGAAAGACGTGGAATTAGAATTTACATGGGGCTTAGGAACAAAAGAGAAGGCTGAAAAGTTAGTCAAGGAAAAAATGAAAAAGGATGAAAGTTTGACACCGTTTGAGCAATACTTGGAGAAACGTAAAGCAAAGAAAAAAGCTAAAAGAGATGAGCGAAAGAAACGTAAAGATGTGGATGAAGATGCATCTTCAAATTCTGAAGTGTCTGATTTGAACGCTAGTGCAAGCGATGACGAAACTACAAATAATAAATCACCATCGCGTAGGAAGAAGAAAACAATGAAGAATAGTAGTACAGTTTTATCAGAGGATGATGCTGATGACGAAGAAAAGCGCAAGGCGGAATTAGAACTTCTTTTAATGGATGAAACTGAAATTGGCGACAAGCGACATTTCAATATGAAAAAGATCGAAGAAAATGCCACAATGACGAAGTCTAAACGTAAGCGACTTAGCAAGAAGAAAAACGGACAGAATCAGATAGAGGAAGATAATTTTGAAGTGAATGTGCAAGATCCTAGGTTCAATGCATTATTCACGTCGCATCATTACAATATCGATCCAGCGGATCCACACTATAGAAAGACAAAGGGTACTGAATCTTTAGTTCAAGAGAAGTTGAAGAGGAGAGCAAATAATGATCCTGCAGATGTAAGTAAAATTGATATTATCCTATACATTAAGTTACAGTATTGACATTGACTTAAATTTCAGGAAAGTACAACCAAACAACAAAAGATGAAGCCCAATGCAGAGTTAGAAGCATTAGTTAAATCAGTAAAGAGGAACACAAAGAATATTTCACGATCAATAAAATGATTTTTCAGTGAAAAATCACCTTGAAGTATTTATAATGATAATTGTTTTAAAATTATTTTTTATTAGAACCTATTTTGTTGGAACGTTTAAATAATAAAAATATACATTTGTAAATATAAAGACTTTAAACCAGCCTAAACACCGTCCTACCGTACCGTCCCTAATTAATTATTCCACTCATGTTTCAGAAAATTTGAGTGTTTTGAAATTTTGTATGGTTTTAATGCAAGTAATAAACTCATCTCATTTTTTATAAAATTCCAAGTAATAATTAATATTATTATAGTACTTTAAACTTCATATTATCCTTGTCTCTAAGTCCTGTGGTGCATTTTGATTATAATTAGGAATACATTTCGGAATTTTGTGTATTCTGAGACAATGTTACACGATAGCGACATATTATGAGTTTCGCATACAGTCCGAATGATTGCGCAGTGCGCACAAATCAGGGGAGCTAGTCTCATGTAACTGGATCTTTTTTTGCCCATTCGCACCTTTTGCAATACAAAAGAGACGAAAAATGGTGGAAGGGATAGCCGTGAATTGTTAATAGTTATTAACGTAAAAGAAAAATCAAGTTGCTACCAAGAAAACCCTACTTAATGTATCCCATTATATGAGAACCTACGTATAACCGTCATATATGTAAAGTGAATTCGTGGAGCGCAAAGTGGGGAGCCATCGTCTGGGCACCTGGATGTGTAGGCGTCGTTTTGGGAAATGACGAACTTGACAGAATGTATTTTGTAAACCATGAGAAGTTAGCAAGTCTGTAGATTAAGCCGAGCCACGAACGACAACCCTGGTAGGGCAGGGGAGCATTCACCACGCGATTCGCGGGCTTGATTGAAGGCGGAAATCGATACAAACCTGCGCTGGAGGGAAGCTTTGGTTATGTATGCGAGTTCAAGTGAAAACAAATGAAACTGAATGCTACTATACGGGAGAGCTGTTCGGTACGATGATAGAATGGCAGTGGACGAAATCCAGCGACCAGGAAGCAGAGAAGAGTAAGGTCCTTGCGAGTCTCATCGGATTTCATCCTCACACTGGCACAGTGAAGAAAAAGCGAGGCCGCGAGCACAGGTTTAACGCGCCCTATGCCAAACATCAAAACAATGTCTGAGAGTCCTAAAATGGGCCTGTTTGGCTCCAAAGACAAAACAAAGGAAGGAAAAAAAGAAAATAAAGACGATTCACCCGACCGTTATGCTCCATACTGTATTGATAGCGATTCTGAGACTTATGATACAGAAGCACTAAGCATCATGGACATCAATGATATTATTGGTGTTCAGGCAGAACCAGTCAGTGATTCTACATTGGAAAGTGAAATTGCTGCACTCTCACAGATTATCACGGAGTCTAAGACCGATGGGAGCCAGAATATGCCAGAATCTAATGTTGAGGAGAATGCTCAGATTCGAATAACTGATACCAAACAGGATCTAGAAACAATGTCGGATGAATTAGAAACTCTTGTTGGTATTGAAGGAGTAACAAGTGTTGGTGATATGAAGCATGCAAGTGAAGACTATTGTAACAGTAATGAAATCATTTTAATGCAGGATATGGAACTTAAGAGTCAACAGGGCAATAACAATACAAAAGACAATAGTGAAGGTAGTGTACTAATGGACTCTGCAGTTGTTGTTGATATTAAAAATACTAAAAATGTTGATGTTTCAATTAGAATGGATGCTAAAATTAATCAATCTACTGGTGAATGTGCTTCAAAGACTATGACAGATGAGGGAAATGTAAATTTATCTAGTGCAAATCAACAAGAAGATAGTACTGTTGTCATAAATGTATTAAATAGTAATATAACAACTGTAGGAAATGAGAACAGTATTTGTGGGAGCTTACAACTTATCGGTGAAGCGTATAGTTCAGAGGACTCTCAGGAAATGAGAATAAATGATGTTGAATCAATAGTTACAGAATCATCAGTTATTTTTAATGAAAAAATTATAATTGCTGATGAACAAAAGAAAGAAATAGATGACTGCTGTGAATTACAAGATACTATAAATGATATCACTGAAATATCTGATACTTTAAGGTCAAGTGAGACATCTACAAACAAAAATATTTCTCTTGAAACTATAGAAAATGAAGCGAACAATATGAAACTCGATGCATCTAATTGTTCTATACAACATCACCATGTAGAGGAAATGTATAATACCTTACAGGAAATAGAAATTTCTAATGAATGCAATGTCGATAATCATGGAAATGTTTCTTCAGATTGTAAGACAGAACAAATAATGTCAGATTCTGTAGAAATAGATAAAACAAATGAACAGATGTCACATGAAAAAGAAACAAATAATACGCAAGTAAAAGAAGGTATTGTAACAGTAGAGTATCTTAAAATGGAAGTAGAAGAAAATATACAACCTGAGAATGATCTAAGTGTTTCACAGGAGAAGAAATCTGAAGCAGATCTAATGAAGGAACCCTCAGAAGAAATAGTAGAACCTAAAAAATGTGTAGAATCTATAAATGTACAAGAAGACGAAAATGAGAGTAAAAAATGTATATTAGAAGAAAAAGGAATGAATCAAAACGAAGATAAAGATATAAGTACTTTGAACAGTAAAATTACTGAACATGAAAATATTGTAGAGTTAAGTGTAGCAAAAGATGACAAAATAAATATAAATAATACAGAAATTACTCAGAAAGAAGATAAGGTAAAAAGAGAGTCTGGACAATCCCAACAAGAAACTCCAATGAAACTTAATGTAAACAAACCTTCTGATTCACAACATACCAAGAATAATTTAGAAATCGTAGAAGGTAAGGTTGACGCAATACAGTTATCAGAAGAAAGAGAAAAAATTAATATTGCAAAAATGGATATTGAAAAGTTGGAAACTACAGAAGAAATGGATATTGAAAAGTTGGAAACTATAGAAGAAATGGATACTGAAAAATTGGGGACTACAGAAGAAATGGATACTGAAAAATTGGGAATTACAGAAGAAATGGATACTGAAAAATTGGGAATTACAGAAGAAATGGATATTGAAAAATTAGGAACTACAGCCAAAATGGGTACTGAAACATTGGAAACTACAAATGAAATCGGTAATGAGAAATTGGAAACTACAGATGGAATAGGTATTGAGAAATTGGAAATGATAGAGGAACAGGATATTGAAAAATTGGAAATTATGCAAAGAACGGATATTGATAAGGTGCAAACTAAAGAAGAAATGTGTATTAAAGAATTAGGAAACAAAGAAGGAATGAATATTGAAAAGTTGAAAATTACAGAAGTAGTTGGTAGTGAAATGTTGGAAACTATAGAAGATATAAATAGTGACAAATTGGAAACTATAGAAGTAATATGTCCTGAAAAGTTAGAAGTTACAGAAGGAATAGGCAATGAAAAGTTGGAAACTATAGAAGGGATAGGCAATGAAAAGTTGGAAATTTCAGAAGGTATAGGCAATAAAAAGTTGGACACTACAGAAGGAATAAGCAATGAAAAGTTGGACACTATAGAAGAAATGCAACAAGATTCTGAAAAACAAGTTTCCAGTGAAGTATCTTCCATATCACAGGAACAAATTGTCAAAACATCAGAAGAAAATTCTAACACTGAGGATGTAGCTGATGATACTTTAAATGTTGAAAATAGTAATAATCTTGATCCTATGTTACCTGAAACTACAATAAAGGCACCTTCTGCTGTTGAATTAGAAAAAGTAATGGAATTACCAGTTACAGAAGGATCATCAGAGGATAAAGTGGAAACATCTATATCAGAAAATACTGATACAACTTCCATGATTGAAATACCAATGGTAGTGGAAGTAAATGAAGAATCTGTAGCTCTTCCATTAGAACCAAAGACAACTTCAGATATTGCAGTTCCCACAGATACTATTACTACTGAAAGCTGTTCTGAAATCAAAGATGACTCTGTGAAGGAAAATAGTTGCAAATTAGAAGAAAATAAAAAAGTTATTGATGCCGAATCACTAACAATTATAGCATCTGTTTCTGAAGAACAAAGTCAGAAACTAACAGAGGTTCAAGACACTGTAGAAGACACAATAGCTGAGAAAATGAACACTGAGAAAACTACGAATGTAGTTGATGTTTTTCAGAAGCATATAGAATCTAAGGATATGAATGTTTCTGAAGAACCTGAAGATACCACTCTTGATTTCTCAGAAGAGTCTAAAGTCGATGTACAACTAGTTAAGGGTGAAGAGGAGAATTCTTCACCTAACACTGTTTTAGAAGAAAAGGAAAAAATGGTATGTGAAATAACGGAATTAAAAATACCTGAAGATACATGTAAAGAACACAAGGAAAGCTTAGAACTGATTGAACATGTACATGTGAAGACTCTAATAGAAACTGATGTAGATGTTGAAAAGAATGAAATTACACCTTCTGTTAACAATGAAGGTCAGGTTCTTGATTCAAATTCTATTTCAGGGGAGTTATTTTTGCCATCTTCAAGATGCACAGAATTAATTGTACCTGAAGAGAACACAAAAGATACAGATACGGATGACGAAATGAATTTAACGTTAGAATCCGAGGAAGCTGAAATGCACTCAGAAATGAATCAAGATAATTTTGAACAGAAAGTAGAGGAAAACAATATAAATAAAACATTTGAAGTTAGAGAAGAAGTAGATAAAGAAGACGAACAAATTTCTGCTATAGAAATGGATGATACTAGTACAACAGAATCACTAAAAATAGAAAAGCAAGGCAGTCCAGATACAAATGCAGAGAAGGTCATGGACTCAAGTCACACTGAAGATTCAATGCAAAATAGAAATGAGGAGTTAGAACATAGAGAACATATAGACGGTAATGATCCAAAAAGTGATGCTGATAGAAACAATATGAAGGAAATGTTAGAAACTGCCAGTAACATGGAAGAAATGCTCTCTGGAGAGCAGGGTCAAAACACACAAGATATTGTTACAAGTATTTTACATGATGTCAGAAGTGCAACAGATTTTAAAAATATCTTAACAACTGAAACAGATTCATCAAATGAAATAGAAACGGTTTTACAACAATCCACAAGTTCGCCGCTGGTAGAGACAGAACTTGAAGAGTTGACTGAAAAACTGCCAGGGAATTCAGAAGACGGCGTAAACAAGAACATAGTGGACTCCATCTCTACACAAAATATAGATTCTCTGGAAGGTTTGTTGGGATTAGATTTAATTGAAGAAGGGGAGGATTCTACATTGAAAACAATAAAATCAGAAGAATCATCTCAAGAACAAGAAACACTATCAAAAGACATGGATATGGAACTATTGTTAGAACAGTCTAATCAGGCTCCTGATATGGAACAAGCTTCGGATTATATCACAGATGTCATTAGTAGTTTATCAGACAGTAATACCATATCATTACAAGAAACTACAGAAAACACTGATTTGACTGAAGTTTGTAATGATAAACCTGAAGATATAGAGGCAAGTAATACATTGAACATAAATGAAAGTACCATTTCTCACTGTATGAATAGAGATAATAATATACAGAATTTGCAGAAGGAAGTGGAAGCAGATTCTGATTTACCAGAGAACGAATTGGATATGGATTTTGAAGGGGCTCCATTGGAATCTGTAGATGATCTGGAGGAAGCTGATACCAAATTGGAATTGAGTTCAGATATGTTGTTGCCAAACGAAGATCAATCTGAAAATTTAAACAATGCACAAGCCATAGAAACATCACAGCCCAGTTCTGAAATATCTGAACTTGAATCAGCAGTTAAGTTTCTCCAAGAGTCTGAAGAACAAGTTATTGATTCCCCGTTGATACTATCTCCAAAAATGGTAGAAAGTGTCGTAGACGACATATCGAAGCAGACAGACACGCCGACTCTTTTTGTCCCTGACGAAGATATGTGCGAAGACACAGAGTTGGTGGAAGAACTTCAGAATATTGCCACAGATTCGATTTCCATCTCTGAGGCTGAAATTATATCCGAGGCTGTTAAGTTGGAAAGTGAAAAGAAACTCGCAGAACAAATTAAACTTGATGCCTCGCAGGAGAAATTTGAAACGAACGAGGAAAAATTGATAATAAAGGGAGAAGAAATTAAATTGTCCGAATCTGAAGTTGGATTCGATTCAGTTTCATTGCAAAATATTGAAATACAATCAGCATCATCGTCTGAAAAAGAAAGGATACCTGAAACATTGCATTCCTTGCCTTTGAAAACATCTGAAATCATTCCCAAAGTATCAATCTTGGAAGAGCGCCTAAAGGAGCCACCGAAGATCGAAATTCCACCCACGGATGTAACAAAAGTTGTTATCTCTCCAACAACATTTAAGGATAGTCTTTTGATTCAAAAGGACGCGAAATTGATCGCCTATCAAAAGATGTTGGAGTCACCAAAGTTGACCGAAAAAACGGAACCCAAAATTATGGAGACACCGCGAAAAGATCCCGAAAAACATGACTTCGAAAATGTTGGATCTCCGAGGATCATCTTAAAGATTGCCAAATCTGCGATCACCGATTGCGCAGAACCTAGATCGCCCAAAAGCCCGAAGATTAGGTCTGCAACCAACTCACCGAATCCTGAAGATAGTCCAGGCCAGAAATTGGGGAAGATAAAGTTGAAATTATCAAAAGGTGGACATCCGTCTATAATATCTAATGAGAACGTTGAAGAGGCAGGGCAATGGTACTCTGAAGGATCTTTATCAGTATCCCCAATTGGCATGAAAATCAAATTATCAAAATGTGGTGATGCCTCCATTGTCTCATCTGAAAAGCACGAGCCTGGTGATGAGTCGAAGGAAGGGAAACATAAGTTTGAGGAGATCAAGAGGACTGAATCGCCCATTGGAATGAAAATTAAGTTATTAAAAACTGGTGATGCTTCTATAGTGCAACAGGATTCCAAAGACATGCAGATAAAGCATAAAGATAAACTGGATATAGTTCAAGGAAGTCCTAAAAGAACTGAGTCTCCAATTGGAATGAAGTTCAAACTTTCAAAAAGTGGAGATGCTTCAATAATACCAACCGAGAGGCAAGATATTCCAGAAGAACACAGAGAAGTACAGTTAAGAGGAAAAGAGTCTTCCTATGACTCTCCTAAAAGAACAGATTCACCAATTGGAATGAAGATCAAACTGTTAAAGACTGGAGATGCCTCCATCGTATCTCCGGACATGGCAGAAGACGGTAGAGAAGCTAAGATAAAGGACAAGTTGGAATCGTCACCTGAAATTCCAAAGAGAACTGATTCTCCCATTGGAATGAAAATTAAACTAGCTAAGACGAAGGGCGGGGCTTCTATAATTCCAATGGAAAACCCTGAGGATACAAATCAGAAGCTGGAAGTCCCAGATGTCCCCAAACGAACAGAATCGCCTCTTGGAATGAAGATCAAACTATCCAAGACTGGAGACGCATCCATCGTTCACTCCGAAATTGCTGATGAGAGCAAAGATATGAAGCTAAAGGAAAAAACAGAGAACAAGGATAAACAGGATATACTATTAGATATGGTAAAGTTGTCGGACGCTTCTGGAATGAGAATAAAAGTAATAAAGTCAGGAGAGACGTCAACAATAGCGCAGGAACCTCTGGAAGAGCCTGATAGTCAGGAATCTTTACAGAAAGTTGAATCTCCAATTGGCATGAAAATCAAGCTCTCCAAATTTGGAGATCCATCTATAATATCCACAGAAAAACAAGAACATACAGAGGAAACTAGACCTCTTCCAGAGACACCTAAAAGAACAGAGTCTCCTATTGGAATGAAAATCAAACTGTCCCGAACCGGTGATGCTTCTATTATACAGTCAGAGATGACTGAGGATGTAAATAAATCGTCACGTGCACCTGACACTGAACACTCCAGAGCCATTGACACTGCTTTAGGAATGAAAATCAAATTATTGAAAACAGGTGACACTTCTATAATGGATTCAGAGAAGAAAGAAAGACAGCAGAGGCGTCGTGACACTGACTCGCCTCTAGAGATGAAAATCAAGTTGTCCAAAACTGGACATCCTACAATTGTCGCTTGTGATAATTATGGAGAGCCTGCTTATAGACCAAAAGAAGTTGCAGACCAGCATGGTTTCGCTCAGAGGTATAAAGAACAGACACAAACGCACAAGGAGCCCCCTTTGAAATTCCTTAAAACTGGACACCCAACAATTTTACAAAGTAACCGCTCGGAATTGACGATTGAGCCAATTCAAATGCAAGGAAAGAAAATGGACAGCGCGATAGAAATATCCGCTAAACGCAAAGACATTACTATAGCACCAATAGAGACCAAAAAGTCAAAATTAGAAGCCCAGTTGACTCAAATCTTACCTGAGGTTACCATTCAGCCTGTCGTATCTAGGGATCAAAAGCAATTCATGTTTGACCCAAAGTCTAGTGCAATTAGTCTCCAACAAATGAACGTAATAAGCCAAGAAATTAGTATTACTCAGGTCAGACCGTTGAAACAGGATAGCTCAATGAGTGATAAACTTAAAGATATCTTGGGCAAAAATTCCACCGGCTCTCCCATGAATTCTGACTGTGAAATTATTGAACATCGGCCGGAATTAATAATAGTAAATGAAAATTCGAATTCTAGCCAGGATGTTGTTATCATAGAGGAAGTTTCACCTAATAGAATTCCAGAAGTTAAGATACCTAAAAAAAGGGGCAGACCCAGAAGAAATCCATTGGCTCAACCAATAGTTCATCCTCCACCACATATACTGATATCTAGAGATCCATTATCCTTAGATGAAACACAGCAGATGCAACAACAATCACATACAGAATCTAGAGAGAATGAAAGACCGAAGAGGACGTGTAGGAGTCAGAAGAGTTATGCACCTCCTAAAAGGGGTAGAGGACGAGGTTTGTATCCATTACAGCATTTAAATTTGGATATATTGCAGTGGTCTCAACCGTCTTTTTTTCCTGCAGGTCGAGGAAAAAGAAAATTGGATAATGTAGATGTACAAATGGTGAAGAAGCCAAGAGTAGAGCAAGACTTGACAGCGATAGAAGCTTCAACGACTGCTGTAATAACAATAGACGGTCCTGTGGTGCAAGACGAATCCTGTAGTAAGGCATCAGAATTGTACAAAGCTCTCCAGCAACCATCAGTGGATGCTAAGGTCAGTTCTGTGACCAATGTAGAGAAAAAAGCTGCAGGGCAAAAGTATGATGCACCCCAGACTGTAAATCTACCAAATAGTACGCTTCCAGACTCTACAAACATGCAAGTGGAAACAAATCAGGTAGCGGAAGTACATTTGCAATCTACGAACGCGGTGTCCAATCCGGTGACGAATGAGTCTAAAGATAGTATTAATGATAAGAAATCGGCAGAGGAAATCTCTGAAAAAATACAGAAAACCGTCTTGAAGCAGACTTCTGACGAAAAGTCTGATAAGACAATGGAAAATGTAAAGCCCGAGACTAAAGATATGTTAGTACCTCCAGAACATCAGAATTGGTTGACACCAACATCAAAACGAGCAACAGAAGCGCCTGGAAAAAATGAAAGTGTATCTACGGTACAGGTGATAGATGAAGAAACAAGAATGAGCGCGGAATCAGGTTCAAGATCACAAACTCCAGCTAGAAATATTTCTGCACCAGGTATTCAATCGATTATTATCTATATCACTTGCAAGTTGATTGACCTTACTCCTGTGTACAATTTGTAGTTATGTCTTCATTTCTGTGTACATACGTTATATTATGTTTTACTGTGTTTGGTATTTATAAGTTGTTTACATTAAACTTAGAACATGGAAGGATATAATGATGTACATCAGTGTTTATATTTACATATTATTATATGTTACTTACTATACGTACTATTCGAGAATTACTGTTTGTTGCACTTTTAAGACTAATAACATTTTGTGATGAACTACAAATTATCTCTATAGTATCAACAAGGAAGTATAAGCCATAGACATTATATGTCTAAACTAAATCATAAGACAAATGTATTGGTAGACCTCCAAGCAAGGTATCTATAAATAGATCTTTTCTTGTGTCCCAACATCTCTCAAGTACCTAAATGTGAAATAGTTGTATTTAAATCAAAGGCAAAATGTGCTATTACTTCAGACCATAATGGATGTTAATGTGTACAGAATTTCAAAACCATGATGGTTGGCATGCTATTTTTAAAGATTATACACTATTTTTTTAATATTTCATCTTTAAATGCAAAACAGTATTGATATTTATTATTAATTTAACTATGAGTGAGATGACATTTTCCTTTGTCTCAATTACTTTGCTTCAGATATAATTAATTTATATATAATGCATTTTTTAAATACAATTCTTACACTTTAATTAAAATTGCAGCCTATTATAATATCTTAGTTGGTTATGTTTTCATAATCACCAAATTATTTTTAATGACATATGTTGCAGCTTCTGAAACAATGGTAAATGAAGAGTCTCAGGGAAGTGTACTTAGTACAGCAACTACAGAATCAGAAAAGGTGAAAGTGAAGAATCGAAGGATGGAAATTAACTTCGATCCAGATGAAGGACCATTTACAGTTGATAAGATTGCTGAATATGAATGGCCACTTGACCGTAAAGGAGAAACATTCATGATACAAGAACAAATATCCCAATATCTTGGCGTAAAATCTTTCAAAAGAAAATACCCAGATCTAAAGCGTAGAGTGGTGGACATGGAAGAAAGAAATTATTTAAGAGAAAATGGTTTGGTTAGCGAAGCAATGTGTGACATGGGTAAGTATAACTATATCTCCTCATTAATTATGCGTAGTTATCATGTATGAAAGACAGTGCAATGTATTAAACTTTTTCACATTATTTCAGGTTTAACTGCCATATGCAGTTCAGAAGTACTGGATGTAATGTGTAGTGACTTTCCTGATCAATATGAGGAATATAGGAAACATATGCGTGAGAAACAGGTAAAAGAACATTCTAAGAAACAGAAAGAATTATCTGCAGCTGCAAATGCAGAGAAGAACAGAATTGATTTGGCAGAAATGGCAGTTCAGTCTGCACTATCTTGGAACATCACTTTAAATAAAGATCGTAGGGAAAATAGAAAGTGTAGCTTAGATTTGCAGACCTTTACAATACACGTGCCAAAGAAACAGCAGAAAGTTGAAACGGAACGTAAAATAGGTCATTATCCTGTTGCATTAATACCAGGACAATACACAGATTATTATCGTGAATATACGCCAGCTGAATTACGGTATTATCCTTTGAATACTGTTCTGTATGGTCCAATGAGACCAAACGAACGTAAATTTGATACACAGTCAGAGGGATCGCAAAGTGACAGTGACAGTGATTCGTCTTCAGACGATTCTAGGTTCGTGTTATAGCTTAAAATCGTTGACATTTGAATGCTTATCGTGAAAAGATAGCTTTCTATTTTTTTATATAGTTCATCTTCTAGCGAAGGAACACAAGATACCGAAGGTTCTCAGTCTACAATGGACGATGTGGACATGGAGATAGTGAATCAAAAAGATGAAATAAAACTGAAATGCAAAATGTGTTTGAAGATTCTAAATAAGCACAGTAAGAACGAAGTATTAATTCAATGCGGCACTTGTAACGGACACGGTACCCTTCTGAATATAATCTTGTTTTGAACTTTGCCGTTCTACAATAATTTGATGGTAACAGTTATTTCTCATTACAGTTCATCCGTCGTGCATAGATTTAACGTTAGATATGGTTCCTCACATTCAATCATACGCGTGGCAATGCACCGACTGTAAAACTTGCGCTCAATGCCATGATCCAGCGGATGAAGATAAAATGCTCTTTTGCGACATGTGTGATAGAGGGTAGGTTTTCTTATTGAATGAAAAAAGAACAAGTAAAAGTATGTTATTACATATCATATCTAACACTATTTAGGTATCATATCTATTGTGTGGGACTTCGACGAGTACCACAAGGTAGATGGCACTGCCAAGAATGCGCCGTTTGTGCAAATTGTGGTTTAAGAGAACCTGGAGGTGCGAATTCTGACAGAAACAGTGTTGCTCAATGGCAGCACGAATATAAAAAGGGTGATAAAAACACTCGTGTCTATGTTTCAACGCTGTGCGTTCCATGTTCAAAGTAAGTAGGCGCTGCATTTGATTTTTATGGTGAGGTGTAAGAGTGGCAATTTAATCTGGAACACAAACTAAACTGCAAATCATTCCATTTTCACGGGGATTCATTTTCGCTTGATTATTTCCTTAATCCACTCCAAATTCCTGTCTTATAAGAATTTTTTAAGCTAATGTCATTTACAATATCTAGATTTCTGGATTTTGAAAATTACGCATAATCCAATGGATAATTATCAGCTGACAATTATCTGTGCTCATTCATCTATCTAATTACATTTGCACATGTGCTTAATCGAACCAGAATTCGGAATGATATATTAGTTATCCCATGCTATATTCTGCGATTATAATATATCCTTATCCATGTTCACTAACACCATAATCTTTATGCAATAACAAGGCTATGGCGAAAGGGTCGCTATTGCCCGCACTGCAGTCGCTGTCATACTGCTCAAAGACTCGACCTGGAAGCGAACCTAGTGCATTGCAGCGCATGTGACAAATATCTGCACTTAGGTATTGACACAAACTTCATATAATTCTGCTACTTACTTTTCATTGCATGTCATCGCATTTGCATGCCTCATTAAGTATCTTTAAATGTATTCAGGTAGGAAGAACAAAAATGGAATATTCTGTTCAGTAATTTTACCGTTTCATATGAATATGTAAAAAGTACTATGACTAAAGAGAATTTTATCGATGCTTCATATTTTATAGGATGCGTGGAGACCAAGGGAGTTCCATTAGACAGGAAAAATTATCTGTGTGACTTTTGTGCGCCAAATCGTCAACAGGTGGTGAAACCATTGGTGTCGAAAACATTAAAAACGTAAAGTGCTACGAAATGTACAATTTTTTAAAACTCGGAACCAAGAATTGTATAAAATGTGAACGCGTGTGTAAAGAAATTTGGTAATGAAGAGAATTTTTTATTTGTACGAACAACGAATGCATCCCGAAGATTCAATTGTGACTCAATTATCGTGGAATATTTCGTATAAACAGTTGCGTGGAAGAAGTATGGCTGTATATAATTGTATAATGAGAAACAATTTAAATAATTAACCTTTTTGTTACACAACGATGGCTACGTATAAAGCTAAAAATACAAGAAATCTCATTTTGAATTTTATTACAATGTTTAGTAACAACTTTCTTAAATTCCAGTTCATTTAAAATTTTGAATCCCTTATTTTAGAACTTGAACGGCCTTAAGTTAATATCTTGATTCAATGTGGAATAGGGTCAAAATTGTTCTATTGTTAAAAATATTACCTTAGAATCAATACAACTGTAGATAGTAATTGGAAAATAATTATTGGAAAGACTGCTTTACAGAATTATATAAAATTTTTAGTAATCTTTAACTTGTCCCTTGTAAATGTATGTTTAAGGCGGCAAGGAATTATAGTAACATACAAAACAGAGCCGCAATTTCTTAAAAATATATATCACTTTCTTTATTTTTCTTTTGCAATATAATCCTCGGAATAGTATTTTGTTGCGAGAGTCGGATGTTTGCAAATATCATTTTTTTACATATTTATAATAACGCAGTATTCACGTCATAATTAGTATGCTCCGTTATTTCTCGTATCGTTAGAAATTCATGTAATTCCTTGGTATTCACACCGATAACCAATTGTTTTGTTACGAACTAATTACATTTTATAATACATTGCAAGAATGTTTTACATTATTTAGCAATATATGTACAAAAAGAAAAGAGGATAACAGTATTGAAGTCGTTCAAACAATGACCAAGTTGCAAAATACGAACTTTGGCATATCGTTGCATAAATGTTATACAGTCAAAAATATTCTAATACATTGCCTGTCGTTTTTTTTGTACAAGATGTCTCCCTAAAGCATAGATCAGTTATATGCAATGTAACTACCGAGGACTTATACAATACTTTTGCGAAGTAGATATTCTTTTTTTTTTATACATTTTTTTAAAGCTACATGTCTGCGTTTACGATACAAAGTTTGAATAACAGCGGAACAACATCGGCAGCATTCGAAAAATGAAAGAGGACAATTTGCTGTGAAGTGTGCAACCCGAATTTCCGCTTATCATTTCATCCTTTTACTAACATTAAACAGGACATAAACTAGATTGTTTTCTTCATACCAATAATAAAATTTGCAACTTCCCCTAGTACGTCTGATACGTGATAACACCTTCGGTCACCTTTAAATTTATTGTAACTTTGAGCTCTACTATAAAAATGGCTGTGCACGCTTTCAAATTCTTTCATAAAGTCACACTTAACACTCCGCACGTATCGTAAAATATGAGAAAAATAAAAAATAGCTTGAGCAAAAAACAAGGCGTAGCATACAGTACATGTTATGAAACGACATAACGTGCTTTGCATTACATGTAAAACACTTACACTAACGGGACAAAAAACGAAAGAAAATCCACGTCAATGTCCCGTTGACTAGCCAAATACAAATACACTATGGACAAGTGTCAAGTGAATTTCTCAGCAAACCCAATAAGCGCGACCAGTAGAAAATGTGAAAATAATGTTTATATTCGAGCACCGATACTGCTAAATTATCGTTTAGAATATGTGTGTGTGTATATAGTTTTACACCGGTGGTCAACTTTCATATAGCCGTTAAATGATTTTTGTATTTGTATTAAAATCGATTTGTCCTTGGCTCTGTACCCATTGATTCAAATAATTTAAACGGCAAATAAAATCCCTTTTACAATCCCTTCTACGACACAGTATTTTCATTTTATAAATAATTGACAAAGTAAACATCGACATTAACTTTTACTCGTGTCTTATACCGCATATGGATAAAAAGGTACTGAAATTATGTAAGTGCGTTGCCGGTACGATAGTGGTAACTAAATTTCGCGTAGAAAATTTCGAAAGAACGTTTTGAACGAAATTCGGTCCTGGGGAACTTCCAACCTTGTAGAAGATTCGTAGATTACAAGACGGATTCTCGGTTTGCGAGCCTTTTGTAAGTTTGCATAGTACATACTCGAACGCTTCTGTCAGTTCGCTAACAGTCAGTTCCGTTGAAGGTAAATTTGTTTCCGTGGCTAAATTACCAGTCGAATTAGATGAACCTATACAAAATACATACTTTTCTATATTGATCTGTATAGAAAAGAAAGCACAGAATTATACTTGGATAGAAATATATACCAGTGGACATGTAACACACAATCGCTGAAACGTTATTTTCGTAATTCCACCTACGCCTTATTGCTACTTTGAAATTACCTACGCATTTTCCAGTCTCTTCATCTGCAAACAAAATATTTTTTTATCAAAACTTTCTATAAAAATTGTACAGCCATTTTCAGGGCCTTTTTCATCGATACTTACATTCAAACCTATTATTATCTCTATGAGCCCATACGCACCACTCAACCTGAGCACCACGTGGAAGGTTCGGTACAACAATATAGTCCACGATGGCATTATTTGTTCGTTTCTCCCATTCCTTTCGTGCGTCTGGTATATAACTAGTGTGAGTCAAAAAACAGATACCTTGTACAATGTCCCTGAGTTGCGTATTCGAGTCCATAGCTTTAACAATACGATTAATATGCCTCAATGTCAGACGACACTGCCTTTTAATGTTCAAGTCCAGAACAGTCATACTACCAGGCACCAAAGGTATTTGTCCAGCGACTGAGATAATATCACCCACCTGCCAATAATTATTATAATATCAAAGCTATTCAATCTATTTATACTACTATATATATTTAGTTACAAGTTGAAAATGTGCATAAATTGTTAGTAAACATCGCTTGTATGATCAACTTATGTTACTTATTAAGCTCTTAATGTCTTATTGTCATTCTAAAAAAACTTGAGTTTGTTTACCTCACTGTTATGTTTCGTTTTTGTAAACCAGATGTGTGTGCGTGCGCGTACGAATGCGCACATACACACATTTTGTCTACACATACACACAGAGACGCGCACGCAAATTCGTTTTTTAACGGTAGTACACTCACACGAACAGCTTGAGAGTAAGGACCAATGTTCGCTGGTGCCCAGTGACTTATGCTCTGTACATGCATTGTGTGTCGTTTATGAACTTTCTTATCACCACAGTCTTGAGTTTCTTTATAGGCTATAGCGTCAAGCACAACGTGTACATTTAACGGACATTCCACGCATACACGGACCGGTGGGTTTATTTTGCTCAGACACGAGATGTAAACTTCGTTTATAGATACGTAATTCGACATGTCTTTTATATACAACGTTACGGCAACGATGTCTGATATTTGAAGATTCTCCTTCTTGACTAGACCTAGACAGTCGATATGAGTGTGTCTTATAAATATACATATATCGAGTACACAGTGTGTTGATATTTACGTGAGAAAAAAAATCTTAACTGAAAAGATGACTTAAAAGACTTAAAGTTTACCTACTGCTTAATTTCTCCAATGCTTCTCGCATCGCGGATTTCGGATCCGGATGTTTCCCGGCAATACCCCCAAACCAGAACCAGCCGGTTTGATTCTTATTTACCACCGGTACATCGGGATAATCTTCTTCTTCGTATAAAATCTCCATAGGACTCGGTGGATTAAATTGACCTGGCACCGTAATTATACATTCCATTAATGTTCTACATATTAAAAACTGATAATTCCATTCCACCATTTAAGATGCGATTACCAGAATTCGACGTTTTCAAACTACTGTCTATACAATCACAATCATCGTTCTCATCTTCTGATAGATTACAACCGTCGTGCAATTCCGGACCAATGATCTCTGCGATGTAATCAGAGGGGACTTTAATAGGAACATTCTTTAATCTTTCTTGTAACGTTAATCTTTCTATGCCATCCTGAAAAATTTTCCTTTGCATTACTTACAAATTCAAAAAATAAAGTAAGCTTTACTCACATTCTTATTTTGTACATGTATTTTTTTGAAGTTAAGATATCCGACAGGTGCTATGTTATCATTCGAATGTACAACACTTTCATATTCATCACTAGAATGTAAAACAAATGCATATCAATTTACACACACGTTTATACAAGCTGATACTACTTACATTACAATACTTTTACTAAATAAGGGACAATCTAACGTGAACGTTTCATACTCTCCTCCTTCTCCACACACATTAACACCATACTTCTCTTTCTGCAAAAAAAACGTTAAATAATTTATACAGGGTGATTTAAAGATACAGGTGCCGCTTTAAAGAACCGCCGTGTGAGGATTGGTCCACAGATTACAGATACCGACGCGACGGTTCTCTAAAGCAGCACGACCTTTGGTTTGCGTCGCGGGAGAATCACCCTGTATAACTTAAAACTATTTCTAATCAATATATTAAATGTATATAAAATTTGTTTTGCACATATCTTAATGACCTATTAGTATTTGGAACAATGCCAATGTAGACTTAAATCAAGGGAAATACTCAAGTAGTTAATGTTTTGTGTCAAATTAATCACTAGGACATCTTACTTACTATTTTGGCAAGATGAGGTTGCATTTCAGAGATCGATTTACCCAAATACCTTGGTTCAAGGCCTAAAGCTGCCACTTTGATTATAACTGCATTTACAGAACTTTCTATCATTTCTTTTAATAATTCGTCTTGTTCCCGTCTCCACAAATACGATAAAGAAACAAGACCTAAACGACTACATCTGGAAACAAGCTTTCTCTATTAGATATATTTTTATTGGTGTTAAAATAGTAAGTGATATTGATTGAGTTCAATGTACTCTACTAAACTGAATATTTTAAATATTGCATTAAATAATTACACATTTTCCACACGAATTCGCTGATAATCGCTTAGAATAGCTCCTGATGAAACAGCTTCTATATTTTCTTTTTCCTGTTATTATAAAATAATTATTTTAAATTTGTTGTTTGTATACTCACTGTATACACATTATATATTAACTCATGGTGAAATATATGTATATTTACCTTTACTTTACTTAACAGCCTAAAGAGATCTTCAACTTCATCATTCTCTGTTGGATAGTAATATTTTTCTTGCATTTTTGATCTACCAAATGTTGGTTCACGATATATTGGCAAGCCAGTAGCTTCTGCAATATATTCAACTCCCTGATACCCAACAGTTTGAAACATAAATGAATCCAGCTCATCTAGAAAATATTTTATTTCTTCATTATTTATTGAATAGCATTTTTTATTATTTTCACTAATTAAAGAAATGGCCTACATTCTCAGAAAAATATTGTATTTATTATTTTACCTTTTCCAACAGGATATAAGTTAGCCAAGGCCACAATGTCATGGCCTGCAGCTATACACTGCATCATATTAAAGCAAGAGTCTTTACCACCACTGACTAGTGCAACAACTCTCATGTTTCCGTTTTATACTCAAAATCTCTCAAAATACTTATCAGGAGCTTTGGATACAGATAAATCTGAATATATATGTTCAGACAACTTAACACAGTACATGACTTTATATATATGGACATATTCTACATACATATACATATGCATATCAAAGTTAAAAACTAAAACACATTTGCACATATTATTTTTTCATTCTCAACATTTACACAAGACCAAATCGTAAATATCAATTAATAAATATTTATGTTAGAAGGATATGGAAACACATGAAATAAAAGTAACATAATTATAAGAACATGCAGCAGACATATTTAAGATTACATATGTATACATTGCTCGCAAGTATACATTAAGCCAAAATTAAATTTATGAAATACATACATGGATGTGTTTCTTGTATACTCTATCTCAGAAGTAAGACAATTTAGATGTTAACATTTCTAGAGAAAATTCAAGAAAAAAAGCTACTCTTCATTCTTATCCCAGAGTGATTTCAAAAAAAGAAAATCGTATGCTATTCCTCTAAATGAAGTGACAAAGAAGATAGAAACCAAAAAGACACCAGATATTCAATTTAACTTGTTAATACATGTAACAATTGGCTAGTGAACAAAAATTAATCACTGTACTATTCTAAACAGTAAGTGTCACGAAATCCGGAAACGATTCCTAACAGATCTAAAATTTCTCGCCGGAGTGTCACAAGGCTGGGATGCAGTGAAACATAAAATTTGAGTCGATCGAGATGTTAGAAAGAAAGGGCCAGCGATTATTAAAAGAAAAAAGAATACCTACGGAGAAAGTTTTTGGTTATTGCCGATCTCGACTAGACGAGAGATATTACGGAATGACGCCGAGCAACGAATTGCACGGGGAACGTGAACGATAATTTCGGGCTTATGTACGCTAAAATAAACTCTAAATTCTCAACAAATGTAATATTTACATTAAATAGGCGACGAAAGTTCCTTACACGGCAAAGTCTATCAGAGACTGCGATTGCTTGATAGTGGCGCCTCTCGGATATAGACTTTCAACACAAACCGTACAAATTGAGGTTATGATTTATTTCAATTCTACGATTGTTTATAATATTTATTACTTGAATTCAGCTAGGAATTCCACTTGTTAATAAGTTATATTCGTCGTTACTATGATACTTGATTTCAAATTCTGCCAATATCTGATACAAATCAGAGTCGCCAGTGAGAGATTCTTAAGGAAATCTCATGCGACCTTACCTCGTGACATCATCAGTGTACAAGATATATCGATGCTTGTTATTTCAATCTACTTCTACTCTACAATTTACTGATAGTTATACTAGTCCAGTCAAATTATAATTGCGATTTCTTGCTTTTTTCACACAGTTTTTTATAGAATTTCTATATTTTTATACAATTAATGAAATATAAAATTACTCTATTTAGTACACGCTTCGTAATTTCATGTGCCAGGTGTGCATTCGAAGGAATTGATTCAAAATAATTTTCAAATTCATGATACATTGTAATTACATAACATTGAGTCTTTTACTTATTAATTTCAACTTCTTCTATTCAGAACTTTATAAATACATATATTGAAATTGCACTTATAGGACTACGTCGTTTGAAAAAATTTGTACATATATGCATTTCATCAATTTCAAAACAATCGAGTAATACTAGATAGAATATTTCATACTATGATTATAAATTGCATTTATTAAAATATCAGTATTCTTTTTTGGTAATGAAAGGGCTTCAACAGAAATCCAAAATTTTATTAATTTGTGTAGGTATGTACAAAAATATTTAATATCAGCGAAATAATGTCTCACAATGAAATCTCTTTATTTAACTAGGTATAAAATATCTGTACGTTTTCGTCTGAATAATTCAGACGCATTGGAATGAAAAAATATATTTGTCAAGGTGCTAAGGAATTAACGAAAAACTGGTTCCTCAGGATACAATTAATTTCGAAATACATTGAAAATATACGTTGCCATCTTTACTGGGTATATCGTTGGCCAATCGGATCACTTTCAATAAGCGGCCATTTTACTTTCGCTACGGTCGCACGAAGCGCGAGTCAGACTCTACGGAGCACCGTGTAATTGCAAGCCATCGCTTGCATCGTAGGTTTCGTGAGTATTTCGTGCGACAGGGACTTAATCAGTGTGATATTTTGGTAGATCGTTCACCAAAGGAAAACCTGGAAGATGGTTTTGGCGGAAAGAAACTCGGAGAATGTTAGAAACGGGCGCAGGTCGAGAGGCCCCAGCCCCAATGGACAGACTGAATCCTCGAGCGAGGAAGACGGAGGTACCAATTTTACATTACAATCGAATTATCCTTACAATTAATCAGATCCTATAAAATGTTTGCTTAATCGATATATTGTAAATACATAAAATCCTCAATGTAATATTTTTTGTTTGCATGCTTGTATATTTTTCTATTGATTGAACGCGAAAATCCGTAAGGATCTTCAAACAGCGCGCCCCACTTTTCCTCTTTTTAAGTTCTTTGCATTTGCAACCAATTCTTACAGTTATTTTTATGAAACTAATTCGAATATTTTATGAGTTCATTCAATATTCGCGTTAGTTTTTTGATACCAATTCAGCTTTAAGCGAAAATACATTAATTATATTGAAATGTATTATGCATTTTCAACTTGAAATTATTTATAAACACAAGATATAAGTATTAACAAAACATAAAGGAAAGAGACTTTATTATTGATTCCTTTTAGATTTGTGTACTATAATTATGCGATTTATGTTAATTTTGTAATGATAGTGGGTTTTTATGTTGACTAAGGATGATTGGTTTTTAAGTTCCAGCAGAAAAAATACGAGTTGGTCGGGATTTTCAAGTCATAATTCCAGAGTTTATTCCAGTCAATGGTATGTTACATATTATCATTATTTGATTGGTATTAAACATTTGTATTATACATACAAATATAATGCTGCTCAAATATGGATGCATGAATGTACATGAGAATAATAAACAATTATGTTCTATAAGGAATGGTTTTTAAATCCAATCCAACTTTCATAATTATAGATTTTATATTTTAGAACGACGATTAGATCAATGCCCTGACAGAGCTTTACTTGTGTGGTCTCCCACAACAGATATACCTGATCAAAAGTGTGAGAAAAAATTGCAGTTGTTATTTGATTTACAAATTATTTCTTATCACATGACATTCACAGGAAATAATTTTTTCAGTGGATGAATATATTATATTGGCTAAGGAAAAATATGGTTACAATGGAGAACAAGCCCTGGGAATGTTGTTTTGGCATAAACATAACTTAGAACGTGCCGTATTAGACTTAGCTAATTTTACACCATTCCCAGATGAATGGACAGTTGAAGACAAAGTTCTTTTTGAACAAGCTTTCCAATTTCATGGAAAAAGTTTCCACCGTATTCGACAAATGGTAAGAAATCTTCTCTGTATATATAATATATATTCTTTAAACTGTATTTTCTGTAGCTAGATGTTTGTTTCTTATTTTTATATTAATCTGTTATATCTTGTCCTTCTAGTTACCTGACAAATCTATTGCTAGTCTTGTCAAGTACTATTATAGTTGGAAGAAAACAAGAACTAGAACATCATTAATGGATAGACAAGCAAGAAAGTTAACAAGTGGTGGAAAGGAAGGAGAAAATGGGAGTGAAAATGGAAGTGAGTTAGGCTCTAATACAGACAGCGAGTCGGAAGAAAAAGTAAGATACCCTTTTGATATATCTAACAAATGCACGTACTAGACATTTACATGAAATCAATTCTCTCTCTCTCTCTCTCTCTCTCTCTCTCTCTCTCTCTTCTCTATTCTGTCTCTTCTCTTTCTCTCACTCATTCACTCACTCAGAACAATAGCTGTACTCTCATAAGCATTCATAAAAATTGTGTTATTCATCAAGACAGAATAACGAATTCGTTTTAGTTGCTTGTTTAATTTTTTATAAATTACTAGCTTTATGTTACCATTTTCATTTTACTATTTTTCCATAGAGTCAATTTATTTAAAATTAATTAACATTTATGCTATTGCGTGTAGTAGTGTTCTCCTCTTGCTGCATCTTAATGCCATGGCACTGGCTTAAAAACACATATGTATAATGTTTAAATACTTACATGCATTTAAAAAAATGTATCCACACGGTAACGTATTCCATGCGATGAATAAGAGTACGATAACTAGGCAATTAATGTACAATTAGTAAAGGTCACTAGTACCGAAAATAAAAAATTAAATGTAAAATGAATTCGTCCACGTAAAACAATTGGAGATCGAAAGTTATTAAATTCATGCACCAAGTAACATATATTCCACAATGTATCAGTAAAAATTTTCACAACTGTTCAGAAATAAGTCCGCATCCGCCATCAATCATACAAAACTAAAAAGTTATACTCTCGTTATCGTTGTATCGTGTGTGAACGTAAATGTGGAACGTTCCAGAAATGGACGATCCACCGCGGAATACGTCGTGGAAAGAACCAAGCTGTGCCAGGAAGCCAAGGCACTGACGCCAAAGCCCCATCCGACTCGGAAAACGCCCCTCAGGTTCAGGTACTCAGCCTAAACCTTACCCAGTTGCATACGCTTATTATATTTTGCTATTTTGTGTATCATATTTATTTTCCTCTTTATCGTGTAAATCCTTTTACCTTAACAAAGACAGTCAAGAGATTAGAAAGTAAGAAAATCCAGTACACAAGTAATTCATACATTAGCAGATTCGATAGGCTGAAACCTAACTGAGGAAAAAATATTGAAGCACACAACGAATTATTAACTTTGAAAGAGATCGGCTTTTAATTGCTTCAACATTATTAACAATACTACACAAATGTGTAGTACAGATTTAGAGTTGCTGATCTTTCATAGCAGACCGAATTAAAGATTCAAATAATATGTTCATGCATATACTTCAATATTTTTGTTTTGTAAAAAGTTACACTTTAGAGACTTAGCTTAGCTGAATGTAAAAGAATTAACGTGGTGGGTGAGGGTGGGGGGATGATCGGGCTTGATTTTACAAAGGGTATTATGTGTTGTAGGGCTCGTGCAGTAACTGTGGCGTTGCTTGTCATAGTGTTCGTGCGACGCCGAAAGGACACGCGTGTCATAGCTGCTATCTGCACTGGAGGTCAGTGAGTGCAAGTAAAATTAAATATCAGTAATTAAAAGAAATTATTCGAACTTTCCTCAAATTAAGAATGTTCATACAAAATTTTTCTATTCTATATTCAAGTAGTACAAAAGATGATCTCTACAAATCGACAAGTAAAATGTTCTAGTACTCACGCTACTCATACACATATTTATAGGTATGTATGAGCATTCTTGTCAGTGCACTAGCTAATGTTTTGAAAAATACTTTCATTCCATGCATACCTGTCTTTTCTTTTTATGAAATCGATCCGTACGATACACATCAAACTTATTCAAATGATTTAGGCGAACTGGTGTAGCAAGGCCATTAAGTTCCATGCCAGGTCGTACAAATAAAAGAAAACCACCCCGCGGCCTGGTCGTTAATCATGATGATTTAGCAGCATTGGCTGGTCAACCGAATCAAGCGAACAACAGTTTACAAGCAATCGACACTGAAATTGTTAGCTTAAAACGACAAGTATGTTCTTAAACAAAAATATCAGTTTGCAACGACAAACGTGTGGATACATTTTTTATACGCATAGAAAAATAACTTATACGTTTTGATACTTAGCGGTAGAACGTTTATTTAGTCATGTTTATTATCCAATATATAGATACAATCGAACAAACAGCAAGTAAGCGCACTGAAACGGAAAACAACTGATGGTATCGACGATTTGCGACCACCAGAAGTGTCGAGTCGTATAAACGCTCGTTGGACAAATGACGAGTTACTATTAGCCGTTCAAGGAGTTAGAAAATATGGAAAAGATTTCTCTGCTATTGCTGATGTAATTGGTACCAAGACGGAAGCTCATCTACGATCGTTTTTCGTGAACTATCGACGGAGGTATAATTTAGATGCGGTTTTAAAGGAATACGAGGCTGAAAACGGCCCTATATTGATTGATGATGAAAAAGAAGAGAAGGTAAAGTATCTGTCACTCAAACCGCACAAAGTATTAAACGATACCAGTGATTTAATTATTATGTTTGTACTTTAGATGGATGTGGATCAACCAAATGAAGCTGCAGAATCATCTCAAAAGACGAAATCATCCGTCGGTCTTGGACAGACGGCTAAATAACAAATGAGTATATTGTTGAGTACTAAACGTGAGAAAAATAATCACAGGCACTTTGATAATCGATAATATCATAGAAGAGAAAGGTATTTGTCCATAATTCAGTTTTTAATATACATTTATTTTTATTCTTGGTTATATATATCGCTTTACTCTACGGTGGTGCGATTTTACATTAGGAACAACCAAGTACAAGAAACAATTGTTTATTTAAGCTTGTGCGTGGTCCGGCGATCCGTATAACGAATATATTGATGAATTAATACTGAAGAAAGCGTGTGAATTCATTCAGCTAGCCTTACTTTTAGTGTAATATAGTTTGTATGTGTCTGAAATGGGATGCTCCTTAAATGGTCTCAAAGAAGCGTGGTTCCATTAAAGACACCTAGCATATGATTCTAAGAAAAATTAAAATTTCATTAGGTTGATGCATCCAGATGCAGGTATAAGCATTATTAAATAATATACACATTGTACGTAATCACGGATGCTCATTATCATCTTTCTTTTATGAGTAAATTAATTGTATTCTGTAGCCCATAATATTTTTAGGTATACATAAAGGACATAACAGTCCTATTTTGACTAATGAAAGTAATTTAAACAAAAGAATTACTTGTTTCGAATGAAGAAAAATTCATTAATAACGGATGAAGAATCGATAAGATTGTAAAAATATCTCTAAAAAAATGATATAATTCACAACATTAAGAAAATCGTGTATCGCTTGGTAACAACTGTAAACGAAACAATTTATATATACCAGAGAATTAAAATGACAGGTTCATATGCGGATAATCAAGGTATCTTGTGACTATTTCAGTACTCTAACGATTTTTTACCCGTGCTCAAATATTAACTAGCCATTGTTCTAAAGTTTCTGTCGCTGTAACACTGCTGCGTTTGTATCGAGTTCAATATTTTTGCGTGAATTTTGTGTCAGTTTATGCACATTCTATGTTCAATTATTTATAGAATTTTTAAGACGTTAAAATAGTTTACGTTGGAGAACTTAGACTAAAGACAAATAGAAATAAGAGAATAGTATGAACAGAGCATTCACTTATTTTACATTTCATTTGTATAGAACACTTTTTATCGGAACCATTTTAATATTCCCTTTTGTAGTGTCATAAGATTTCGGTGCCGGATGAAAATTCTTGTATTTGTGCCTATGCATTTCTGGCCGTACAAAAGAAGTTTAAGGGATACAAGGTTGTATGTTAAAACTATACTTTTCTTAGTCCTCTCCGTTTCTCTTTACGCCAAATCATAATGCATACTCAAACTATAATAATGATACAATATACCGAGAATCAGACAATCTTCCATTCTGTGCGGAAAAGAAACGACGAGGAGGGAAGAAAAGTTTCTCCGTATCTTTCCATTTAAAAGTTTTTCAAATTACTAATTACAACTTCTTGGAAAAGAAGATGAAAGGTTTAACACGTTCGTTGTCATGTTATTTTATTTAAAATATGAAACTGCAACAGTCGTGTTAAACATCTTATTTATAGAAGAATAATGCTCAACGAAAAGGTACAGTTTCATTAAAATTTTAACGAAGGAATATTTAATATTTTATCAAGGTACATCACAAAGCAGATTTTTTTTATAAGTTTTATAGAATAACAAATTTGAGGGGTTGAAAATCGTGCTGCAAAAAAAGATATATTATATTAAGAAAATAAATATATTTTTGTGGCTTTCAGCTACGTACTCGATCCAGTTGTATAAACGAATAATGGTTCCTGAATATTTCTATTATGCAAAATTATGTAACGAAAGCACATATATATATATATATATTTAAATTGACCGTATTACAAAGTAACGGTGCTTCTATACTTACAAGCACAAGCTTCTGTACTCCATTGTAGAGGAGTATCTCATTTATAATAGAAAAATATATTGATTAATTGAATGAGAAGAAAGTCAGAATAGTTTGTTGTTCATGCACTGTTAAATATTCGAACGATTATAAAACGCATAAGCCTGTTTAAGTCTTGATGACTATAATTTTAAATTAATAAAATCTTAATAAATCTATTTTCAAGAAATAGTTTAATCATGTAAATTGCTCTAAAATTCGAATTTCAAGCTAACTGTATAATAGATAAATGGCAGTAATTTTTTTCATCATTATCGTTAGACAATATTTTCAAGTCTTATCGACTTCCAATAATTTGCACGGCTTCATGGTAGAACATTAAACCTCAAGTATGTGTAACCTTTAATATAGTTTTATGTGTACAACTACACATTTACTATTAATAGCTATAGTAATAATATCGTTAGTTTAATATATTTATCTAGGTAGTGTCGACTACTTAATGTTAATGCAACAAACAGAAACACTCGCAAGCGTGTGTGTACGATTTCTTTGTCAGAAAGATGTTATTCCACGAAAACGATTCTGAGATTAGGCACACCTTAGCAATTGTTATATAAACATACTTTGATGTAAATAGAAAGAATCACCAAAGAAATTTACTGTAATCGTTAGCGACATATCACGATGGCGGATCACATAGTCGCTAGGACTATCTGGCCCGGACAAGTTGTTGCAAACTGAAACGATAAAAAGCATTGCGATCAGAGGCGTGCAGCAAATAATTTGGATGTTACCTTTCAATATCATTTTTGTTTGACCAATAATTTAATGACTGTAAAGAATTTGAAAATTCAATGAACTTGTACCTAATTATAGAAAATTATTTAATTTCGTAACTTAACGTAGTATATTACATTTCGATCAGTTCTCATTACATTTTTCATTCATTCATATAGTTTTAATACGTGCAATTATTTTACATACGAAAGCACGGCGCAGTGTTCAATTATGTTAGATGTAAACTTTCAGTAGCTTAAGATTGAAAAAAGAAGTTACATGCAAATACTCTGTTGTGTAGCTATCACTTTTCCTGGCAAAATGCCACCTTCTTTCTTTAATTATTATTTAATTATAAATGCATTTAAGTACCAGACGATGCGCGGTCAGCGAATAATGTTTCTTCAAACAGACGAATTTGCTTGATACGTGAATGGTTTTGAAATTCAAGTTTTGTAATTTTATATAACGCCGATATGATTCTTTCGAGAAATTAGTCGGACACTTCTTCACTACTTTTAATTTATGCAATGTAGCTCAACAATTAAGGAAATGTAATTTCTTGAAAGATGTTACGATAGCAAATTCGCCAGTTTATATTTGATATCGTGCAACTTGTAGATACGAATAAAAGATATATGTTACGGTGGGACATTAGGAAAAACCGAGAATTCTCGCAGTGTGTAATATATTTTATGATCGTTCAAAATTTTTCTAATATTCTGATACGATTAAATGTAGCATAATGTAAATACGAAGTTATAAGCTTTGTGAATGTGTACACATTCGTATTACCGTAAGGTGTACAGATGTATTTATTCGGGATTATTAAATATTTCTTGTGTATTTTGATGGGTTATAAAACATTTATTTGGGACTCCTCGACAAGAATTATTAGTTCATAATTATAAAATACATCAACATTGCTTACCGTTTATTTAGTTACAATTGTACATTGTGATTATTATTAACTGTACTCTTGTATTACAATTTTTTGCTTCCGTAATAAATATTCTACGTATTTAATATTTAATACAATATCTAAGTTAGTGTTATCGAATAGACATTCTTGCTGAAGTCGATATTTCGCCTCCATCTTATCTAAAACATCAATGAGTCTCTCATTATTGTTTCTTGCGGTATTTTCTGCAGAGCACTTGTCCGAATTGTACTTATTTCCTCGTATGTAATAGAAACAAAGATTTAAAAACTTCGACTCCTCCCTATAAGCAGGATTGTCGTCATGGTAGAAAGGATTTTCAATTGCTGCGTTAACGTCGAAGTTTTTAATACTATGTGTGAATAGTTTCAGAAAAAATAGATTCATATCCTTATTCGTAACAAATTTTGGTCGACCAAGCATTACTCGCTTTAATAATGATTGATACATACATTCATCGTGTTCAATTGTTTGTAAAATATGTGCTCTCAAATTCTCCGCAATACCATCGCGTATTTCTGAAATTTCATCCTTCAACAAAATCAAACAGCAGTGCAAAACCGTTAGCTTGTTTGCGTTTGTTAGTTCTGCAAAGCGACGAATTGAAAATTGTATTAATTCAACCGCTATTTGTCTCTTATACTCCTCTTCGTGAACACATAAATTCAGAACATGGGATAATATCCGGTTTATAATTATATCATTATCAGAATACATTATTATTAGTATAAATTTCAAACGCCATAGTTTAGAATTTGTTACACTTTCTCTTGTTTCAAAGGATAAATTTTTCACAAAGTTTTTCATATTCAATTTACTCATATCGGATAATGATAAATGTTTTAAAGTGTCGAGAGCATAAGTTACCATTGCATTTACATGCAATTCACTGCAATTATGTTCATTTAATAATAAATGTTCGAGAACAATTTTCAAAACTGGCATACAACTCCCTACATTATTTAAGAAGGAACTGCTTTGATCAATACAATGGGAGACTAAAATTTTATGCAAAGTATCAGTGTCAATAAAATTAGTTCGTCTAACATAGTCTGCATATAATTTTGTAGAATGATCAATAAACTGAAAAAATCCCGGCTTTATCCTTTCGGAAGATAACACAGAGATATTTTGATCGAAGCAAAATATGTCTGTGGAATCCAGTTTATCGGAAATAGACTCCGACAATTGTAAACAGAGCACTTCTAATATGTAGCATATTTTATTTTCCCCTGCGGGTATAATACCCCAAATTTGTAATATTTTTCGTAATCGTAACAATTCTGCGCATTGCTTGGGTTCCTGATTTACATATTCTACTGCAGCCGATTCCAAACTTATATTGTTAACTTCAACCAACAGTTTTTCTTTCAGATACTTCATCGTTAATAAATAACCGTGGATCAAATTGGCATTTTTACTCAAGGAAACTTGATGCTTCAGTTCCATAATCTCACATTCAATATTTAAGAAGTCTGTCAATGCTGCATAGGCTTTTGCAGCTAGAAGTCTAACGTATAAAACGGGATTTTTAAACAATGTACGTAATAAATGCTTCATCTTTGATACAAATTCTTCGGAAGAATAATCGATCAAATTAGAACCACTGTTTGAAAACTTAGAAAGAAGTATAAGGATGTGTACGACATTTGAGTGCAAATATAATGCGGTAGAAAAATCCATGAATGTGGATGAAAAATTTTGCACTTCTTTCATAACATAATTCGCGAGTATAGGATAATGTGTGACAAAATGATTAATGGGATAACCGTTTCCAAAGTCCACAGACTGTCCATAACTTTGGCCCACCAATCTCGGAACTATTGCACCAAACAATTGGAGGCTTGCATTTCTGAAAATATGCATAGTAAATGTAATCATTCTTATATCCTTTCGAAAACTGTATTTGATGTTACCTTATAGTCCATATTTCAGACTCCAAGTACTTGAAACAAGTCAGTGAAATCCTTTCCATATATGGAATTAATTGTGCGTGTATTTCTTTATCAGCTACCAAAGCACGCAAGAAATGCAAACGTCTTGCACAGGGAGAATCATGTTGACACTCGACACTTTTTGGAGAGACATCAGAGATATTATCCAGCAAGTCTAACAATCTTTGTACCGCAAAATGCAAAAGCGGTCTATCTCTTCGATTATCACTGACGACGATTCTATGAAACATTATTGATAATCCTGCACCTCTTCGGGTGATGTTTAAAGAGTTCATGGCGTTATCTTCTAGGATACGTAACACGTGCATTTTTGGTAAATCATAGTACTCAGCTTCCTTGCATAAACATCTGCGATTTTTGGTTATTCTTAATTACACGGTAATGTGACTGTGTTATTTATGGAGTTTAAATAATACCTAGTTAAATGTCCTACTGCTGTACCCGCGGCTTCCACTACACCTTTGTGTCTACATCTGAGTAATACAGTTACAATAATATCAGCAGAGCATTTCACTGTTTCATAAGAATACCTTAATGTTCCTATCTCAGAAGCTATTTCACAAGAGACCTACAAAAAAAGGGGGCACTTTGTTGTCTTACATAATTTCAATTAAAATGTTATATTAATTCAAAGTATACAATAAAAATGTTTCACCTTTAAAGACATCCAAATGCAAGAAATAAGAACCTGATGAGCAGGAGTTAAACACAACTCCTCAAAGTCAATGTTATCAACTTTGCTATTCTTAATAGCATTATCAATTGCTAATCCCATTTCTGCGAATGAAGATGAATATTCTGCAAATTCAATTTCACTCTAAGTAAAAAAAGACATTATTTACACGTATTATGGTGTTCTACATTTTTATATTAAATATGATATACCTGTATTTTCAGACTTTGAAGAAAGTATAGACAGAAAGAAGTTAGAAGCGTCCTTCAACAGATGTAATAGTTTTTTAACAAATTCTAAAGTTAAACAACTGTTTTCGGGACCATTTCGAAAGGTAATGTTCAATAAAGCAGTTAAGACTCCATAAAACGGTTTATTCTGAACTATTGCCTTTAGTATGTCTTGTTTCATCTCTGTTAACTGACTTGCAGCTTCATGAAATAAAAAATCTGTGTAACTTGAGCAGTTATTAAAACTTATATATTCAGCCAGAATATCGAAAGGTAGCCAATTTGCTAGAATTGAAATCAGAGCAGTACCACTTTCAATTTCATAAAACTTTGACGAATTGCTATATTTCAATGCCACTCTATATAATATCTAAGAAAACATCGATTATATAATTACTTTATTAGAAGTGAGAAACGTATTAAATAAATATTCCCTTACTTGTTTCTCCGAATTGGTTAAAATATTCAAGTCGAAATAATCAAGAATGATGGAATTACTTAGTTGCTTGACATCAAGTGCAGAATCTAATACAAGTCTTAATAAACAAAATAAGCTGGCTTTATTTGTGAACTGCCAATTATCGGTCGCTTTTAGATGCTTTTGTACTAACAAAGTACAGGATGCATTCTCAATATTGCTGAATTTATTCAGACCATTGGCATTAGTAAAAGAAAGCATAGCCTTATATAAGTTTAAACCAAGTATTTTTCGTTGATAACAGGAACCAATTTCGAAACAATCCAACAAAAATTCATGCAACCAATGCGTAATATAAAACACATCATTTATGCAATCTGGCTTAGTATCACACATCTTTAAAACACTGGCAAAAAATACTTTAAAATATCTAACAATTCCATCTCTCATACACACTGTTGTACTGTTTGCATTATGCCATAAGAAATTCCTTGTTGTAAAGAACTGATCCTTGGTTTTATCATATAGATTGTTCACCTCGTAACAACTTATGGCAAAACCATTCAATCTTACAACCTCATTTTTATGATTTATGTAACATTCGATGTTTGGTTTCTGTGGGAGATCGATGTGCACTTCTCCGGCTATTCTCTGAAGATGTGAACGTAGGAAATATCCATAGATATCTCTAGTAAGATTCCATAAGTATGGCAATATGCTTTTGTATTTTTTTATAATTGGTTCAAGCCAATGTTTACAGAGTAATTGAAGGGCATTATAGTTAGCACTGAAAAAAATTACAAATTTATATCTAACTTCAATTTTCTTACCTCATTCTATATGAAACTCTAAAAGTAGACTCACTTTTCTGTTGTTTCCCAATGATGAAACAGATAATTCATTATGCACCCAAAAGCTGTCTTCCACTCATCCTCCGTTATTTTCTTTATAATGGCAATATAAGCTTTTGTACCCGCTGAACGTAAATTATACTTTGTTAAACTAGTAGATAAAGATAGCAAAAAGTCACGGGATGTCATCATGTTAATATTATCCCAAACATTACAAATTTCTGCTAGTATATCGTATTTTACTTCGTTTTGCCAAGAAATTCTGTCGATGCAATGTTTAAACACAAACTCCAAATATCCATTGTATTTCTTTTCCATGATTTTCAGGTACATATTAAAAATGGACACCGAATTCTGTTTACTTATCTCATTGATTGCATTACACCAATTTGAAAAAATAATTGCCTCTAGTTTTTGCTCTAGTGCTAAATCACACATGTCCCAAAAATTTGTACACATGGTTCTGTGTAACCACAATTCCAATACTTTGTATGCAAAATAAGAATGTTTTGTATACCTTATACAATGTTCATATGTAACACAAAAAATTAAAGAACAAATATCATTAGAATATATTTCTTTACAGTTCACTTGTAAATAGCCATAAGCAGAAATTAACTTAAATAATTCAAACTCAACAATATTATATTTTTCATTCAAGAAGTATAATGCATTGGAATTCGATGTTAAAAAATTTGTAAGTGTACCATTTAGAAAAACCAAAGTAGATTCCATTGAAAGTAAAGCAAAAAATGTGTGGGAAGCTAACAAAGTTTTTTCTCTTTGTACTTCTGAGTTTGGAATAAAAAGTTGTATAACATGTGTAAGTACTGGTTGCCATTGTTTCAGACTCTCGTCGTTCCATAATTGTTTATGCGATGAAGCATAGTTTATCAACCTCTAAAAGAACAAAATGACTTTATAAGAATAGCAAAAAAATAATTATTACGAATATACAATTATTGTACTAAAAAATACTGACTCTCAGAATTATAGTATCTTCTGTGCATGATTGTAGCTCTTTAATCAAATGAATCAATTCTAAATTTTTTGTACACATTTTTGTATAGGTAATTGAGATGTAAAGCACTTTATTCTTTGTGTTAATATTTGTACTTGTTATTCCCTAATCATATGAATGGGTACTTGTTGTTTGAAAATCGAATGTTGCTTTTGCAGCAACTTGTGCAGGTGAATCAGCCTTTTCTGTTCTACTTCCATCAATGCTGCATGTCCTGCAATTAATAGTTAATTGTTTTTTCAAACATCATTTTTGAATAATTATCAAAATAATTATAATATAATTAATTCCTGCAAAGCCAGAAACAATTGAAAAAGGTTCAAAAAATAATAAATCATTGCTTTAAGTGTGAATAAGCATAGTATTTAGCAGCCATCAAACTAGCTTTCTGCTTAAAGTTTTCTATGTGCCACATAATTGAAAAAGGAAAAAAACAAAGTGTTTCTAATATAACAGATTAAGGATTTTCATACAGTATAATAAGACAGTATCATGTTACTTTTAAGCATTTGTTTTATTATAAGTAATAAAAATAAGAAAACTTAATTTGAAAACAATTCAATAACTATTAGTTCAAATTGTGGTAACTTCTAAATTACAATCACTAAATTAGTTTTATGCTGGATTTGACTCTTCGGGAACATACCCCCCTTGCTCTATTTGCTCTTTGAATTTCAAGTACTCTCGCTTACGATCAAAGTGTTTTACCTAGTAAAAAGTGGTAAAAATGTAGATTTCATTAAAAATATGTTTGTATTAGCAAAAATAAAAATAATACTTTATTTAGATACATTTCACTGTTATTCTTTTTTGTATTCATTAAGTCTCAAGATAAAAATACTCATGCAGTGCTTAAAACTTACCCATAGTGCAGGACAAAACTTTTCATACTGATCTCTAAATCTCTTACATTCTGTTTCTGATTTACCATCATCAAGACATTTCCAATACTCATCCCTGTAGTTCCAACATTTTGTACGATCTTCTTTATTTGGGAAAGACATTCTAAAATAATCCACCCTTAGTATTAATCACTATGTAATTTGATTTTATCCATTTATTTGTCAGTAATATAGTTTTTGAAATAAAAAATAATACTAAATAGTATTCACAATTGAAATGCATAATACATACTTACCTATAAGTAATCTTTTGTGACTATATAAAAGTCTACAGTTAGTGTAAAAATTTTCACTGATGAATTCGAGATGTATTATAAGCACTTACTTTTATAGAATCATAAATAAGATCCTTAAAATAAAACGGAAAAACTGTTACATAATCTTGTATTTAGTGTTGCGTATCGTTTACACGTGAAAGAACAATTAAAGAAGGAAGAGAAAAAGATATTTATTTGTAAAACTATTTATATAAAAGTGATTTTTGAAAACATTACATACATGCATAATTATGTAATTTTATTTTTAAACGAGTATCGTTCAACACTTAAATAGGTTAATCATATGGATGAAGTCATTTTTTAAAATCATTTTACAATTTATAAAAATACATAAACACACGGCTATGTATATGCAACTACATAGGTTTAAATATTTAATGCTTTACAATATACCATATTGATATCATCCAATATAAAGAACTGAAACTAACCTGCTTATTTGTTTTGTTAAAATAAACTTGTTAAATATTACAATGAATGACGATAGTAATTTTTACAATATTTATAGCATTTGTAGTACTTTCTGCGGTAAAATATAAATATTTAAATGTTATATTTTAATTTATGAAACATGTAGGACATCGAAGTACAACTTGTGTATATAACGTTATCTTTACGGTCCACGCTGATCCACGCTAGGTGTATCAATTTTTTATTTTGGTAGAAATAAAAAATAGTCTGTAATTGAAGTATCGTAAAAATATATAAACACCAGCATTTTTCACGAATTATTCTGGATTGGTTAAATTAAATTTAATCGGGGTTCGCGTTGCCAATGAACGCATGGAGTGAATATGATGTAACATTCAGGAATATATTTCGTATTTTAACAGAAAATTATACGTAAATAATTACATCATGCAGAATATATAACAAGTATATCGTGTGATTTATTCTTGATATTTAATTATATACAAATACGTTTATCTTTATACAGAATATGCAACAATTACAAATTTCAGTTTCATGTTATAACACTCACTTTTAGTATTTTAAGCATCAAGTTTTCAACATTGATGTTGGCAGTGCCTGGGTCCATTTTGACCCACGCTTTCAATAGCTTTATGTATCTGAGAACAAAATCCTTGTATTTCAAAGAAATATATTTCAGAGTATAAATGAAAAATAAATTCGAGTCTAAATGGATTCAGGCATTACTATCTGTGCAGTCGTCGGAACCGTCCCCTTCCCAGAATTTAAATATCTTCAATACCTCTTTGGCAAATTAACAAAAACATGTCATACTTTATAAAATTCCAAAAAAGGTAGTTGTTTGTTACAACAAAAGTAATATTTTGACTGCATTATCATCAATTACGTTATCATGTGGAAATGTTAAAAGAATTTGTTTCTATGTGAGATAAATTATAACTAACACTATGACAATGCATGTGAATATCATCCCACCAACTAAAACAAATCCATCCTCTCTGGCTCTTCGTTCTATCAGTCTCATGGTGGTATTGGAAAGCCCCAATGTATTCCCAATATCTATCAATCGCTTGTGAGCTCCTTTCAAAGTTATTCTCTGATCTTTTAAATTATCTAAGATAGTGCTCCCGCTTTGAAGAAGATCATCCATCCCATGGACTGCATTTCTTAAACTAGAATTATGTTGAGAGTTATGATCTATCATAATGTCAACATGATCATTTGTAGTAAATGTTCTAGACAATAATGCCTCTCTTTCAGCTTCTTCTCTTTGCTTTTTGATCATTTTATTGCGCCAAGAATTTAAGGCAGCTGATAAATGACGACTATCATATTTCAGTTGGTCAACTCTCATTTTAGCATTTTGTCTCTGAAATATAGGACCCTTCAAGCATAGTACGTCGAGTCTTTCACAATTACTAAAAAAGAAGTACATAAAATAAGTACAGTTTATTAACTGCTAATCAATATTTGACTATATAATTATGTAAATATGAAGATGGTTTGAATATGTAACCTACATTAGTTTATTTGAAATTTACAAAGTTTGTTATTTACCTACCTGTTGATAAGATTTATTTTTGATTCTATATTGTTTTCAACCTCGTTGACATCCAGGTTAGGCGATTTTTTCTCGAGTTGCGAGAAAAGATGTTGAGTTTCTTGTACCAATTTATTTGTTTGATGATATAACGCTTCCATATTGTTTAATAAATTTTCCATTCGTATTTAACATCCACTAAAGTTATGACGTGTACAAACAGTATGTACTGTCAGAGCATGTCAGAGTAAATTGAGTAAATACTGGCACAGTGGTTATCAAAGCCATCAAAGCCTCTCCCATAATACATTTGTATATATTAAAATTTATTACAATGAAATAGACCAGGAGTTTGTAAAAGGCTGTGCTAGAAAATGATTACAAATCATCGAAAGTTAATCAATAACATCTATCATAGTTTTTAAAGAAACATAAAATATTTTTTTAAATATTACCTATCTATAAACCATGTAATCGTGTACTTTCCATTTCACCCAAAGAGAAGCTACTGACATCTTTGTGTTTGCTTATTGTACACAGAACATTTTCCTATAGTGCCAAGTATGTATTTAGTTCAGGTTGATAAAAATAATTATACAATTTGTCCCACCGTTGTTTTATTTAGCAAAGCAGGTTTATAATTTTTGTGTATTTTTAGTAATTTGCTGTTTGTAACAATGAAATACATCAAGTGAGACAAACTCGAAAAGTTATATGTATATAATTTGTTAATAGGGAAGGTTACTTTTTACAAATGGATATCGGTGAATTACTCTCGTACAAAGTGCGTAAAGTGGTGTCTAAGATATATCTCGAGTTTCGTTGTTGTTAAAAATTCTCATTGTAACTTAACTAACCTAACGAAGTTTTTTTGCAGCCGCCAAACACTCCAAAAAGGCCAGTGGCGGGAGAAGAAGATGATGAGGATGAATGGGAGAATGCTAAGAAACCGAAACGGGTTATTAAAACTCCATATCATCCACGACAAAGACAAGCAAGAGAGATTGATGTCACTCCAGTCAGAAGTAGTGAGCCTCCTACACCTATCAGAGCTGCTTTACCTTCACCAGCAAATGACGTGGTTGAACCACAGTTGACAGAAAAGGAAAAACAGGACATTTTAAAATATGTAGAAACTGAGGCCCCAGAAGTAGAAGCATTGGATGAAGCAACACTTAAAAGAATGGTACTTTTATTTGAGAAAAGAGCACTTAGGAATCAAGAAATGAGAGTAAAGTTTCCTGATCAACCAGAAAAGTATGTTAGTTTTAATGTAGGGTATAATGCAAGATATAAAGTTTAGGAAACACACGTAATGTTAATTTTAACAGATTTATGGAATCAGAGGTCGAGTTGCATGAAACCCTTCAAGAACTTCATGTTGTTGCTACTAATCCAGACCTCTATCCACTAATGGTAGAGTTGGGTGCTGTACCTTCTTTGCTTGAATTGTTATCACATGAGAATACAGACGTAGCAGTTGGTGTTGTTGATCTTTTACAAGAGTTAACTGATGTAGACATTCTACATGAAAGTCAAGAGGGAGCAGATACACTTATTGATGCTCTGTTAGAGCAACAAGTTTGTGCACTTCTTGTGCAAAATTTAGAAAGACTGGATGAAGCAGTGAAAGAAGAAAGTGATGGAGTTTATAACACTTTAGGTAATTATTTTTTAATTTAAGTGTATGTTATAACTTGACAAGTTTGAATAATGTGTCCCCTTTTCAGCTATCTTTGAAAATCTTCTGGAGTTCAGACCTGATTTATGTGCTGATGCAGGAAAGCAGGGATTGATGCAGTGGTTACTACGTAGGATTAAGACAAAAGCTCCATTTGATGCTAATAAACTTTATGCTAGTGAACTTTTGTCCATTCTTTTGCAAAGCACACCAGAAAATAGACTTCTTCTTGGTGAACTTGATGGAATTGATGTATTACTACAACAATTAGCAGTATGTACAGTTTTTATTTTCCAATTCTTTACTTTTACCATATTAGTTATTAATCTATTATGTTCAGTACTATAAAAGACATGATCCTCAAACGGCTGAAGAACAAGAAATGATGGAAAATTTATTCAATGTATTATGTTCAAGTCTTATGGCAACTGTGAACAGAGATAGATTTTTGAGAGGTGAGGGATTGCAGCTTATGAACTTAATGTTAAGGGAAAAGAAAATGTCCCGAAATGGATCTCTTAAGGTATGTATTGATTTGCATTTTCAATATATTCTAATATTGATAAGCTATACTTTTATCAGGTATTAGATCATGCAATGAATGGTCCAGATGGAAAAGATAATTGCAGCAAATTTGTTGATATTCTCGGGTTAAGGACTATATTTCCTTTATTCATGAAAACTCCAACAAAAAATAGGAAGAAGATGCTTACGGCGGAAGAACACGAAGGTAACTGAAATAAGTAATTGATATTTTTTATTACGAGTTTCTAGAAACCTCTAACTAATTGGTGTGTATTATAGAACATGTAGTATCAATTATTGCGAGTATGTTAAGAAACTGTAAAGGTCAACAACGTCAGAGATTATTAAGTAAATTTACCGAAAACGATTATGAGAAAGTAGATCGATTAATGGAGCTTCATTTCAAATATCTGGAGAAAGTGGAAGAAGTCGAAAAGAACACAAAGGTTCGTAATTCAATGATCTTACTTCAGATTGTATATTTACATTTTGTTATTATTATTATTAGGAAGATGAAGATGAAGAAGAATCGTACCTGAGAAGACTGGATGGCGGTTTATTCATATTACAATTAGTTGATTATGTACTGTTAGAAGCTTGTACCGGTTGTCCACCGGCAGTGAAGCAAAGAGTTACGCGGATTTTAGCACAAAGAAGAGCTTCTCTCAAAACTATTAGACACATCATGAGGGGTATGCCTTTTTACTATAAGACTTTCTACATCCAGGTATTCGTGAGAGTATACTACATGTAGTGTCTTGTTTTTAAACAGAATATGCTGGAAATCTTGGTGATGCTGGCGATTCGGAATGGCGAGAAGCAGAACAACAACACATATTACAATTAATTGACAAGTTTTGATGTACACATCTTAATGAAGAATTTCCAAATTTGGATCATTTCGGTGTATTTATATCACTATCGAAAGTAATCCTTTCCCCCATCAGCATTTAACATACGATATTATATATTATACAAACTCTTCTGTTTTATATACGAGAGCAAGTAAGTTCGTAAGAAAATTAAATGTGTGTGTGTATGTGTATATTGTGATTAATGCATTTTTCTTTTATTAATGGGTAACTATTTGAAATAGGCTGCACATTGATCTCTTCGCGATTGATCGACATATTCGTTGTTTCTTTTGCACGGTATGATGTTACATCGATCAGTTCATATCAGGTTACATTTATAAATTCGCAATTGCTTACGATTTCCCGTCGGAGAAGTGTTTTGTTGCCCATAAGTGAAAGATTTTATAAAGATATCATAGATGACTGTTAATAAAATGGATGAAACCAAAGTAGCGGTTACGAGCTGTCATGTCAATTCTGTACAAGCTAATCGCAAGTTCGAACGACATTGTCCGTCCATACGAATCGGAAGATACCGTTTATAATTTGCAAAATTATTACGGTGAAATAGTATTGTCGGATTATTTATGGAAGAGTTGTTATCGTCGCAAACAGTTCGGCCTTTACGAAAAATTCATCGTCAACAGCGGCTACGTGAAGTACTATCACAAGTACAATGACCGTGGAGATGCCATTCATTATCAGAGATACTTTTCTCGTCTGGAGCTTATTCTGTTTCAAGTAAGCGAAAATTCATTTAATTTCATTGAGTTTCCCGTAACATTATTACAGAACGTCCAATTACGAAATGTTGACGATGTATACTCGACGGAAGAGATATAGTGTGATATCATTATCGAAAATACATATTCGGTAAATGGTATTCCCAAATAAACGTAATATATTAATTTTCCAAAAATCATGGGTAGACTGCGGATGTTTATGCCAATTCGCATTTTCACAGACAAATTACATTTATTTCGTTAAAATGAAGATTATAGTAAGTTCCCTTACGTTTGTAGTACATAAGTATAATAAAGTCGTATTATTATTGGAAATCTAATATTACTCTGTGTCACATGCTCGTCATAAATATATAAAATCCGCAGTCTAATCATATGAACAAGGCTGACAACGAAGATCGCGCGCGTTTCCATTTAAACTTGTCGTTACCATGGTAATCCACGTGGACGCATGCGTATTCATTGGACATGCTTGATATTCTCTCAGAGAATTTCTCTGTACATCGTTCCAGTTCCATGGCAACCGTAGGGATGCGTGTGCTTGGTCAAGGGACCGAAAGTCTATTTCTTGAGTTTATTTTGGATCGCGTGCGCGGTGCGCTTGGTGGTGCATGCCAGTGGTATGCCAGCTTTCCACCCTTCGCGACGATTCCAAACAGACACGCCGCGCCGGTGTTGTGTTAGGGATAGTGGGGAGGGGGGTCAACGCACGGTGAACGATCGATCGCGATTGGTTTAGCCGCGCGTCCCGCGGCCAATTGGACAGCGCGCTGCGCTCTTGCGCGAAAGTTTGCTGCACGAGAGAATCGAGAGATGCCAGTCCGCTGCTGCAAGCTTTAGAGGCGCGGTTGTTGGTATTGTCGACCGGGTTCGGTATTCTCGCCGTCGTTTATCGTCGCGTTTCTCGTTGTCTCCGAGTCGAAGACAGCCCGTTGCGAACCTGTCGTCGGACAGAAAGATTCGTGCGTGTCGCGTGTGCTCGTTTCTGTGCTTTTTCCTCGCCTTGTGTCGGGAACATCAGCGAGCGAGTTCGAGGAGAACTGCGCCGAGGGAGCTCCGTCCTCGCGGAGAAGCAACCACGGTATGTCACCTGTCACTTTCATCCCTTGTTTCGTGATTAATTCGCGGATGTTATTGATTGGTATCGTGCTCTGGATCGGAGCGTGTGTACGCGCGTTGTATATACGAACTCTCGTACGAATCCACGTCCATGATTTGCGAAGTCATTAAGTCTAAGCCGCACGTTGAACGCTGGGCGACCTAGGGCATCCGTTGTTTGTTGGTAAAACTAATAGGGAAAACAATATCGTACTGCACATTGACGCGCGTGACACATACACATTGTATATTGTGTTCCTGCGTTTCACGTGTGTTGCTTCGGCAGCATTCAAGACAGTGCTTGATACTTGAATTATGCTGTAATAACATTAACGACCGCCAGAGTGAGCGTTTTGAAATTTCTTGTCGAAAACCACGAGTTACACGCAAAATTTCCCGTATCATGACCTTTTTCGACTAATATTTACTTTTGCATATATAGATGCTCGCAGTTTCTTAATAGTATTACGTAATAGTATATAGAATTCAATTCTTCTTGATCGGAACCGATACTGGAGTACATTATCGTATAATAAACAGAGCGGTATTGCTATTCTGTGCGTGCTCCAAAATTCAAAATCACGAGAGACAACTGAAAACTGAAAATTGGGCTATGGTGAGAGAGCACGCTGCTGCGCTGCGTCACCTTGCGTTCAGTGCGCGGCTACGCTTAAAACTAGACTGAGGGGTAGTTTCTTCGGTGTTGTTGCGCGTGAGAAACATTGGTATATACACGAGAACACAGTGGGCAACGAGGGTATTCGAACGATGGACTGTCTAAAAAAATTCTAAACCCGAAGAGAATTATGGGAATAATGTAGGATATGGAACAAATTTCGGATATTTTCGTTGGTCCCGCTGTACGCGTGAACGTGGCCCGAATCAGTGCGATCAGGGTTTCGCATCGAAGAATGTTCGTATTCGGGCAGAAACGTGTTGCTCGCGGCAGATTCCTAAAATAACTGTTTTATTTTATGGTGTCGTTAAGATTCACGTTAGTTTCCGTGCAGGCGACCACGCGCGCTCAGTTCGCTCTTTTACCACAAAAAAAGAAAAAGAAAAACAAGAAGGGATATCTCTGGTGACCGCGTGTCGTTCGCGGATCAATTCGATCTTTTTCGGTAAACACGTTCGACGCCCCGGGATCATCGTCGCAACCGAGTGATTAGACCCGTCGTTATAATTAGAACGTCTCGGATTTATCTGCCCACTGACGCGATTATGATCGGTTGTTGTAGCCCCCGATGAGATTCCGCGCGCGAATAATTTCCACCGGTGGAAACACGCCGTGAAGCGCGGTTACATGTATATGTGTGTGTGTGTGTGTATCTACATATCCGCGAAATAGTTATGCCCCCGGGGTCCGTGTTCCTCGTAAGGTTTCCCAGCCGTAACACCAGCTAAGCAGGCGTCTTTGCAGGGCAAAGCCAATTTTGCAATTTCGCACCCACATTTCGACGATGACGCAACGATACACGTCCCTTTTAACGTTCCGGAACACGTAACCCGGAAGGTACGTCAAGGACGAAGGGCTGTGCTTCTTTGTAATCTGTCCATTAATGATTTTACGCGGTTTATCTTCATCGACCCTATTTTTGGCGCGAAGTACTCTAAAATAGAGACTGAAACTTACTGAAAACGTTACTGATCCTATGCATCGTTTATAAACATGTTTTTGAGATACTTTTGCAGGAGTTGTTGAGATCCAGTGAATGTTGAGCGTATAGACTCTCAATACCTGTAGAGATACGTATAGTTAAAAGTTAAAGGTTGGGTTGATATCTGGTTTAGTTATCTAATTTCGGAGAGTCCCATAGAAACTTACTACAGGTGATACGGTGTGTATCGTTTTACCTACTCAAAGAATTAGCTAAGATTGTGAATGTCAAGGTGTACAACAAAAGTGTGTCCATTTGAGGAAGCTTCTCTACCTTATCGAGCCGTTCCAGTAGTTAAATACATGGTTGTATCATAACGGAAATCTTCAGTTATTTAATTGACCCTTTCAGAGGTCCGTGAAAAAGGTCACTACGGTGGTACCGCGGAAGGCGAATATTTCGCGGACGAAACGCGACCAGGCAGGCAGGCTTTAATCCCTCCGGGGTGGTTTATCGATTCTCGTCCGGCGCAGAATGCAAGCCGGTGCATCACTATGAATGCTGCAGACGACGTGCGACCTTGAACGAGTGGGTCGCCGCGAAAACCAAATAGAGGTCGGGTCCAACACACAAACCTTTCCTCCTCTCGCGACATTTTTGGGAGCACCTGGTGTAGTTTGTTCCGGTTGCCTCGAGGAATCCCTCTGAGACACGTTTTCGATCATGAAACAGCTTCGAGTTTCCTTGAAAAATTATTGAATTTTTTCTAGTCTACACGTCTGGTACCACGAGCCATTTTTACAACCGTGCTCGAGGCGACCACGCGCGAGAACTGAAATCGACTCTGGGACTAATTCCGAATCTGATTACACGGCGATTCGAATGTCAGCCAGGAGATACCTGTTAATTGTTTCATGGTCCTCGTCGAATCCTGTTTTTGACCACATTTTCGGGCCTTGCGAATGGCGCGTTGCGGATAAATTGAAATACCTACTTATTTAAGGAGGATCCAATTAGGCCGCCATTCCTGGTATCGCCGCGGCCCAGGTTTACGCCGTTATCGATCAAACTGTCCCAGATTCGTGGATTCTTCGGTGGGTGAAGCGTTTCTACAACGGGGTGCTCTAGGCAGTCTGCATGAGACTATGTCTCGTTGTTTTTACTGGTGGGGGGAGTCGGTTCAATATAGTATTCGTTAATATTAATCAGATTACTACACAGTATTCTTTTTTGAACTTTCACTTTTGAAACTGTACTTCAAAATAATGTACAAGTAATGTACACTTTGTCTTCGGCCTTCTCAAAGAATTCATCGAGAGTTCGAACTAACAGTCAGAGTGCAGTGTACCACTTCTTACCTTGAGCTCTCAGAATCATAGAACTTTCGAGTCTGATCTGTTGATTCAATCGAAAAAAGACGGTTCCCAGGTGTGCAGTTAAGTTAACGCTCGAAGTTAATCAGGGTCTCTAGGAAGGTTCGAGTCGCTTCGGTCAGGGAGAGTAACACCTTCGTTCGTGCGATTTAAACAGAGAAGTTATTTCTCCGCGGCTCAAGGGTGTATTTTTTTCATGCTTGAGATAATTGGGC